AAATTAATAAAAAACTTTTTTTTTTTTTTTTTTTTTTTAATAAATTTTTTTTTTTTTTTTTGTTTTTTTTTTTTTTTTTTTTTTTTTTTCTTGACTACCCCCCCCCCCCCCCCCCCCCCCCAGCCGCCTTCTCACTGCCTGCAGGTATAACTAACTGACACGGTAACACAGTTGCTACATTTCCCAAGGTGCGCAACGGCCCGCCGAGAGGCTCTACCGCCGAGGCTATCTTGAACAGAAACCGCGCGGGTATAAACAGCGTCACGGCACGGCTGCGCGAGGAAGCAGAGCGTCGACAGCGCGAGCTAGCGGAGGCCGGTGGTGGCGGCAATGGCAATGCGGCGAGGACGAGCAGGGACGGGCCCGCGGAGGCTCGGAGCCCGAACTGGCCTTTTGGAAGTACGCAAATCGGGGCGAAGGAAGTTGGTAGGGGGTAAGGACAAGGCTAATAATGGATGTAGGTAGGTAGGTAGTTAAAGAGTGGGTGAGTGAGCAAGGGGGTTTAGGGAGTAGTCGATAATGTCTTTGTGTTTTGATATGCGATGATGGGATATTTACTTTCCAACCTTATGTATGTAATTTGTCAGATGATACCACGGGCTCGTTTAGTAAGGTGGAAATAGGGGGGGATAAAGAGAAACGGGAAAAGAGAGGAAGTAATCGTGGCTGAAGCAAAGCCTTGCCAGGAAGGGGGCGTACTGGCGATGTACCTATACCTATACCTACCTACACTTACTTCCCCTGCTTTACTCATTGACTCAACAACCTACCTGTCAGTGCACATCGCCGTCTTCCGGGAATATGGTCTTCTTCCGCTGTCTTCCCGTTCGTATACCTATCCGGTTCTACCCAGCTCTAAGACTTGTATTTTCATGGATGGATGGATGGATGGAACTAGTAGATATAGGTATCAATATCCAATACGGCAAATCAAGAGTGCAGCATAGCATAACACGTTGATTTGGTTTGGTTAAGTCTAGTCTGGTTCGAACTTACCTAGTCCCTCTCTTTCCCCTTTCCCCTTTCCCCTCCCCCACGCCAACAACCCAGACCCAGTGCCAGAATTAGGCCTGGGATGGGAACAAAAAGCCAGGCGAGACATACTTGTGCATACATACGTGACAAGCCAGCCAGCCAGCCAGGTTTTATTTGTCAGTGCCCAGGTAGGTATCTAGGCACGCGCTTCGATTCTAGCGGCAGCAGCAGTAGCCCGGTCAACTAGAAAGGATAAGCTCCGGTCCACGACGACAGGCTTGGGGTTTAGCTGAGTGTACCTGGCCTAGCCTACCTACCTAAGTCAGTCAGCTGTACATAGGTCTATACATACCATACGTAGGTATCTAACCTTACCAATAGTATATAAGATACCTTGGGTATATCTGTATGTAACTGTAGGTAGATAGATGTCATCATGTATGATGTAGGTTGTATGTACCTAATGTATGTATGTTCTAGAACCAAACCACACATACACACATACACCCCACGCTATACGATAAGTGGCGGAGAGAGCTTCGGGATGCTGAGTTGACACTACCGTTTCCTGATCTACGCGTCGTTCTTACCTATTTGATACGTATATGCACGCCTACGCATATCTTTTGCCCGCCTGCCTGCTTGCTTGCTTGCTACATTCTCCCGCTTGCGTCTTGCGGTCTCGCATCTACGTCAGTAGGATCCGTACCAAGAGCTCCCCCCCTCCCGCCCCCTTGTGCAGGTCCTACCGGCTCCATCTACGACGCTCCGCTGGAAACACCCCCCCTCCCCCTTTCCCTTTCCGAAGGACCAATTAGCCTTACCTTGTTGTTCTTGTCCGGGAGTCCCAATGCGATGGCACGAATACGGAAATGGGGGGTCTATGTAGGTAATAGCTAGCATATTCTCGCGTGGGTTTTTTTTGATTTTAAAAATGGATGGATTTCTCATCTGACCCCCTTATACCAGTCACCTGCTCGAAATACACGCAGCAAAAATTCTAGCTGGTAAAATGTATTAGAGGTATCATACCACTCGCATTACCTGAGAACGGAGTGGTTGATTCGCCCTGAACAGGCGAGAGGTGTTTCGAGAAAGCCCGAAACCTCTCCTACTTCTTGACTTTTTGTAAATGCGTACCGGTTTAACGCCTGTTTTTTTTCTAGGCGCGTTATGTATGTATGTAATGCCGCTGCCGACCAATCTTGATTTCAACAACTTCTATACCATGTTTGCCGACAACGCCTAGTTCTATGCAAGCTCACTATGTCTTCTTTTCATTAGTAAACAACGGTGGGAGAGACGGGGTTTGATTGAGATGTCAGCAACACCAAAGCTTAGCATCTCAACGACCACTTCTCCCCGTCCATTTCAGAAATAAAAGGCCCAAGGAGATGAATATTATAATGCCGCACGATGGGAAGAAATATCTCGAGAGATACCGAGAACTCCAGAACCTTGGTCTATGCAATTTTTCCAGATTGGAATGTGGTCAGATGGATCCCTATGGACAATAGAAAGATGCGTGCCAAACCGCACCACGAAAAGGGCATTAAAAAAGGGTTCTTCCCGGTTACACGGGGATTCTTATGTTCTGTGCATAGTAGATAATTCGAGAGCTTGTAGCAGCTCCGGTCGATCCGAAAGAGCCTCCTTCGCCTGTGTGTATGTAAACCACTGGCGTTCTCTTTTGTGCTTCTCCGGCCAATTACTTTCCTCTGTTAGGACGGTGGCCTCGTAGAAGCGGTATAGCGCTTTAGGAGCATCCTTGGACAGCTTTTTAGGCGGCCGTGAGTCAATGACTTCGCCGAGATCATAGTCGATACGGATTATTATACCGGCTTCTTCCCAGGCTTCGCGTTCAGCGGCTTCTGTGCATTCTTCATCGGATTCCCATCCACCTTTTGGAAGAACCCAGCCTTTTCTCCGAGTCGATTGAATGAGCAAAACGTACAACCGATCCTCCGAGAGAGGAACCACTCCCGCTACCAGTCGTTCACCCTTCGAGTTGTAACCTAGAAAATTCAAGGGTCAGTTGGTCTATGGGGTAGGCGGTTTACAGACTAGCGCGCCACAAGAACAAATCAAGACAAATCGACCGAGAATCTTTGTAATAAAAACTTACGTTGTTTTGTTCTACCAGTCCGAGACTCCATTGTACGATGATTCGATGAGCCGGACGCCATTTTGTAAGTCGCAGTATAAGTAGAACGGCGCGGATGTACTAGCTCTGCCTAAGGAAAAGATCAAGACGGGAGAAACCGGAGTATTTGGTCGTGAGATACCTCTGGGCAGAGTGTGTGTGCCGGCCAGATGGAGCTGGAATTAAGGCGCTTTACCGAAAAATGTTGAGCTGCATGGTCATGGAAAGTCTCAGAATTGTGCGAGGTTGTCTATGTTTGAAGGAGGCGGTGATATGATGATTGCGCTCTCGTGACGCTAAAGTTGTGTACGAATCAATTCTCTCGTCCTTCTTTTACTCCAAGCTTCCGTCTACGGCTGGTCCGCCAATGCTTTAATACTCAATGCTTAATGTTAATGCACGAAAACTGTATTGTCCTGGGAATCCGGCCCTAGCAACCAACAAGAAAAAGGAATGGTGAACTGTATTGGCAAAATTTGTATGTCCACATAGACACGTTCATTCGGAATCCACGCGTGACCTCGGGGGATTTGTGGTTTTTCTTCAGAGGTTCGGGGTGTGCGTTGCGGAATCACTGGGAAGAAAAGTGCGGCGGATCCCGGGGCTTTGTGGAAGTCAAAGGTTGCGGGTAGGTGAGAGGAATTCGTCGCATAGACCGACGTCTTTCGGATTCTGCAGCCGAACTTTTTTAATTTTTTTTGTGGGGAGAAAGAGAGCACAGAATAGAATATCCGGCGGTCAAGTAGGATGCGCACAGGTGTTTTGTTGGCGGGTTGAAGCACGATGCCTAGGATATCTGGCACGGTGTTGAGGTTGTGGTTGAGGTTGAGCCACTAACGAGCGAAGGGGAAGGTTGCTGTTCTGGCTAGACCAGCACGAACGTTGCAAGTCTCGTGCCATAACTGAAATAAAAATGGAGGGGCACAGACAAGGAAAAGCTGGCAGAGTTGGGTTTTATAGTACTTTCTCTTATTTTCTTAAAGGGAGAAAAAAAAAAAAAAAAAGGAGCCCCGAGCTTAGACGAGGAGCCGCGGACCAGGGCGAAAGGCATGAGCTAGGTATGCCAGGTAGGTACGACTTACCTTTTAGTAAGGTTGTGAGATGCAGGGCCCAGAGGCTAGAGCTACTTACAGGTACCTAAATACCTACCTAACTATAGGTACCTCTTACCCAAGGACCAAAACCCTCCGTGTTCCTTCCATCTATAAACTTATCTGTGCCGTGCTATGTACCTAGGTAGCATCCAGGTCGGCCAGGTACGTTATTATTTGGTACATGCCTAACCTATTCAATGCCAGGTTCAATGCTAGGTGAGGTAAGGCAAGACAAGGTAAGGCAAGGCCACACAGCTCGCCGCTGCAACAAGGGTTTGTAGGGTGGACGCACGAGCAAGTACATGGAAGTACCTGATATAATTTATAATTTTAAATTGGAACGTTGTTCAACGTGTTTAAATAATAATCATTTTTAATCTGTATAACGTGTATAAAGAGTATAACGTGAATTTACGCAATTTAGATATTAAATAGGTAAGGTACCTAAGGTACAATACATATCTTATTGCTTACTGGCTTAGGTACCACGGGTATTTTATTACTCGATTCAATGAAAAATGTAGACCGGTGTGTTTGAGTTGCAGGTGGTAGGTCGAGGGAAGGTTGAGTTACCCTAGCTGCCTAGGTACATAAGCCATGTATGTTTTGATAGGGAACACATGCACGATGATTTGAAAACAGCAACGACCGCCCTAGGTACCTAATGTACCGCTATACTTAATAGCGAAAGGGTGTTAAAAGGACCAAAGTGTGATAACTTTTGGCTATGGACACAGGACCGAAGCTAAGGAGATGCCCGCCTCGACAGGGGCTTCCCATCAAAGGGAAAATACCTAACGTGCAGATATAAAACATCCAAACGACAAAGAGTGGAGGAGAAAAGTAGAGAAGAGAAAAAATTTTTCTTCAAGACGGAGTTTACGATCAACGTCGCCGCACCCCGCTAAGTACATACAGTAGTGTCGCGACATACGGAGATGACGTTTAAAGAATTCCGCTGCTTCAGATATACGATTTTATACAATATACCCCACGCACAACGTTGAGAAACTCGGAAAGTCATCGGGTTTATGTATTGTACCCGCTATGTACCTCAACGCGGGAGAACTCGAGAAAAGGATTATACTATATATAAAAATACCTATAAAATCAATCTTTAAATCGTTCATCCTCATAACTCCACCTCTCCTACACTACATACCTCTAGCACATATATGGAAGTATTAAACTAATGCATACCTAACATACCTAAGGTAGGTATCTATCATCCCACGTATAAGGTTATACAATTACATCCATGTTTCACTTCACCACGTAATTTCTGTATTGTATGTAAATCTACCTAGGTAGGCGTAGATGTGCATAGGTACATAAGTGTAGATGTGTATTTACTATTTCGTACCTTTAATGTTGTTAGATATCTGCATCAAATGCAAGCCAATGCCGCACGTATTTTAAACACGTATTACTCGCATGTGTTGGTTGCTATCGAACCCTACATAGTGTTACATCCACTCGAAGGTATAACTCCTTTTATTTGCAGATCTCATTGGTGAGTGTATGGTTATACCAAGTATACAAGGTAAGTATGAGGTATTATGGCTGTATGGTAGTCTGGTCGGTATGGCCTTGAATCGGATCTACCCCTCGCCTGCATCCTGCCGTCGATCACCGAGTTCCCCAGTTGAGCTTACAACTATAAGACACATTGTAGAAGAGCGAGTCCTTTCAGCACTCAGCACACATGTCTAATATTTTTATTTTTTATTTTTTATACCTAAGTACCTTAGGAAGTAGGTATATTATATAGGACTACGATAATTTACCGCACACCGCTATATCGACAACTGGTAAAGACGTATTACAATACCTAGACGTAACTATGCCAATGCATAACCTTCATATTGACATGGTACGTAAGGGGTGTTACATCTCGATACTAGATAGGTAGGAATTGGTATCCAATGCTATGGCACGAGAACAGGTACAAGTGTCAAAGGCCAAGTTCATCAGCGTGACAGAATCGACCCGGGCCGGTGACGTAGTATTTTGGCCCTAAACAAGATCCGTCCTCCATCCCACGACTGTGGAATATATGCCCGTGATGTATAATAGGTAATTAAGTATCGTCATAACTCTCAACCTACAAAGACTGTATAATTCGTCATGGTGCCTGCATAATGCCATGCAGCTCTTAATCCAGAACTTGGTCTAAATGCGTGAGTCAAGTAGGTAGTAGCGACTTGGCCTTGCTGCCTTTGGGAAACAATTGAACTGTTAATGTAACGGGCCAGAGGTTAGGTACGGAATAGCCACTGCAGAGACGTGCCTACCTTGTTAAATGTATTGTATTGTACATAGATAAACAGGTACCCAATTGAGGTAGTACTTAGCAGACCCGAACAATTTTTACCTTCTTCTCTTCTCCTCCTCCTCCACCTCCTCCCTCTTTATGCTAACACCTCAACTTTAAAACTCGGACAACTCAATATGCAGGTCACGTACGCCACGCCAACGTTTCCCAAAGCATAAAATCCATCCAATAATACGTATTACAATGTTCCTTTTCACCATCCGATATAACAGTTTAAACGTTTTAAAAAAGATTTGAGTACTTATGCGGGTTTTAACAATATACCGTTTAAATCGCTATAAAGGTTACTTATCCCCAACGTCATCGTCTGACTCGACACCGACTCTTTTACATCCGATCCACCTCGTACGTCTGTTATCCCCTTGCCCAAAGAAAAAAAAAGAACTTGACAAAAATCCCTGCGCGCGTGAGCTGTCTTCTTCTGATCAAGTGCCCTGTCGACTCGTCTGCTTGTCTGACCATCTCTAGAAAAAAGACCTAACCATCCGCGGGAACGCTACTTGAAAGGATGCAGGCCACCCCTGAAGATGCATTTTTGTATATATCGCCAATTGGTAAGTCAGATCCTTTACCTTAAATTCATCTACTTCTATCTACCCCGAGCCTCTCCCGTACGCCCCTCAACCAACCGTTCGGACCCGTGCTCCATTGCGACGCTGTCGTTGGTCAACTAGCTCTGCATACCTACGTACGGGTTTTATGGGGAATGCATCTTCTTCTTCATGTTCGTTGGCGCGCCACTACAGCACAGCATACAGGCACACAGCACACCACAGCACACCACAGCACTACCAGCCTACTGGACGTTTTCTGAGAGCGCCGCATTGCTCCAAGAAGAGAAAGCTGGGACAGACATGCATGTTCGGACAAGCTCAGTTTATACATGTTCATACATGTTCATCTGGAGTTGCCAATGCCAAGCCACCATTGAAATCTCGGGATATCAGCCGCAGTCCACCAGCATCTTGCTCACCTCGTGCGAATCTCACCAACCCGTGCAATCGTAACCTCGTAGCCAACCGACGTATCATTGCGTGTTACCTCAACCCGTCTTTATTCTAGATCCCGTTTCAACATCTCGTGCATACTTCCGACTCCTGTTGTGTTCCCGAGATGCTGTCACCTTATTAATGACCCCTTCCGGAAATCAGGCCTTGATCGGAGTCACGGTCGAGTGATCATCAACGACCCCTTATATTCGCATTCCGGGTCAACTCTCTGTTACTGATCTCGTCTTGAATACTGGGCTCTGCAACTCATGATACTTATGTAGATGTTCTATGACTGACCTTTTCTAGGATATAGAAGTTCATCTAGCTGTGGCTACTGCCGCGGTAAGGGTTCTAGTCAATCGCGGAAAAGTATGTCGCTTTCATCATATTAGCATCTGTTCATGATCCGATGCCGCTGGTTTGCTTGCCCATTAATGCTCGGATAATTCACATATACCGTCTAGCCATCATTGTATCCCGCGTTGAGTCTCATGCTTCGTGTAGCGTCCTACAAGGGGCTCCGGCATAACCACATGGTGGTTCTTGCAATTGTGATTTGAGCAGCATTTTACTTACACTACCCCTTAGGCCACTCCTACTTTGCACGTGCGACATCTATGAGCCCAGCCAGCTATCAGATACTGGTCGACCGGTGTTGGAGGCGATCCGGGATGCTCCTCTACAGGCCAAATCAGCGGGATTCTTGCTGCCCGCATTATTCTATTCGCCTCGACTCCGGCCGTTTTCGGCCAACGAGAGACCAACGGCAAGCTGTCAACCGCTTTAACAAGTACGTCATAGGAGATGCCTACTCGAAGGAGGCAGCTCGTTTATATCCGAGGTCTCGCGAGCAAGCTCGGAAGCGAGATACCGAATTTGACTTGGTAGAGAGGATCCACGAATGTGAGAGCGTATTACTGAAACGGCCACCGGAGCCGGCTCATGCCTTGGTCGTTACGCTAGAGCCTGATGATTTTACCGAAGAGAAATTCCAAGTTTATGAAAATTACCAGCGGATCATTCACCAAGAATCTCCGTCATCTATCACCCGAGATGGGTTTAAGAGATTTCTCTGTTCTTCTCCATTAAGGCGGGGGAAGTATATAGCGCCAGATGGGCGGGAACGCCAAGTTGGCTCATTCCATCAGTGCTACTGGCTCGACGGTAAGTTAGTAGCCATTGGAGTCTTAGACCTTCTTCCAGACTGTGTTAGCGGTGTCTACTTTTTATATCATGAATCCATTCACAGGTTTAGTCCTGGAAAGCTAGGGGCTCTGCGTGAGATTGCACTTGCAATAGAAGAAGGTTACCGGTACGTACGGACAAGCCCATAATTGTAGCTAGTGCAATCTCTTTTCCAATTTCTCTCATCCCCTTTCAGATATTACAATCCCCATTTTTATTCATGCATGCTTTCGGATAACCCCCTCTTTCACAGGAAGACAAGCTGGCTCAAAGAATATCTACTAATAGACACCCAGATGGTGGTATTCTGGCTTTTATATCCACACGTGCCCGAAAATGAGATATAAGATGGACTTCTTACCGCAGCAAGTCCTCAATCCAAACACCTTAGAATGGGTAGACCTCGAACAGAGCGTCCTCGAAAAGTTTGACAGCTTCGGATACTTGGACTTCGAAAGAACCGAGAAAGGCACTGAAAAAGATGCCCCGGCGGAAAAGGTAGCTGTGCCAATGGAAGTTGAAGATGAGCACCAAATTATGGACGAGGACGGGGACGGGGACGAGGACGAGGAGGATGATGATGACGAAGACGAAGAAAGGTCGCTCTTCAGCAGTGACATGCCAGGTATCCCGTCTATAGATGAAATGGAATCGATAGACTTAGATCACATCGCAGTACGTCTCAGCCGAGGATACTGCTATGCCGGTGATCTATTTGAATGGCATAACGAAAGTATCAGCAAACCGGAATCGGCGAAAGCAATGGTTGCAGAATTGGTGGCAGCGGTTGGGCCGGAATACATACACGACATATGCCTGGACTTTCGAAAGTCTTGAATATTCCAGGGCCGTCATCTTACGTTGCTATCGAACTCGCCTAAGAAATATGTGGCTTGCGACGGAAATGATACTTCGAGAATGAGGTATAGCATCACAACTTTATATTAGACGGATTCATACGAACATGCTTCGTAGCTTAGGTTCAATCTACAGCTATGGTGACATAACGAGTCCACTTACATTGACTTTGGTAAAAATAAATTAATTAGAACAGGTAATCGATTTTATACTTCAAAGACCAACTTGCAATAGACATCTTACATTAACGGTACCACGCCGACGTTGACTTCCACAAATCTAAGCTAACAAATGAAGTCTTTAGTCCCAACACTTCTTTCGCGTTGGGGATTTAGGCAATAAAACCAGCCTTCATCTCAGACCAAACTCGGGCTTGGATTTTCCTACCAGCTTCTCCTGCCAACAGTATATCTGCTTTCCTAAGACGCGGGTTTGCCATACTTGACTTCTAATACTTATCCTACCTGTAACATGAGGAGCTCGCATACAAGAGTAGTACTTCTCAATTGCATAATCGCACCGCTCGGATAATGCACTATCGATAAATACTCCTTACTAGCTTCTTCAAAGCCTCGCCGATCCTAAAGGCGAACACCCAAAGATGGATAAATCTCAAGCCCCACCACTAAGTAGCTCCAGCCAATAATCTCTACTCCCACCCCACTGCCTCTAAAAGCTTCCCCAGCTCAAAAAAATCTCCCGCCTCAGCCTCGCGGACGAGAATATCCAAATACAACCTTATCAATACATGCCTTAGGTACCTGTTACATACTAGGTTAGGTAGATATCCAACTCGTCGAATAATTACCTAGGTATCAACCAGAGGGACATCCCTCTTCTCTCTCTGTCCATTTTTTTCTTCTTTTTTTCTCTTTTTTTCCTTCTCTTTCCCCTCCACCCTCCGCACCGCGAATAAACCAACCAACCAGCCATGTCGTCGTCCGCCACGACGCAACACCTCCTGCTCTCGCCCGCCGAGCTAGCCTACCTGCACACCTCGCTGTCCCTCGCGCCCCCCATCCGCCCCGACGGCCGCACCGCCTCCCAGTTCCGCCCTCTGACCGCCGAGACGGGCGTGCTGCCCGCCGCCAACGGCAGCGCGCGCGTGTGCTTCGCGGACGGCACCGAGGCCGTCGTCGGCGTCAAGGCCGAGGTCGAGAAGCGCAAGGTCCTGCCGCTGAGCAGCAGGGCGCACTACTATGAGGACAAGGAGCTGAGGCGCAAGGGTGAAGGCGAAGGGCAGATAGAAGAAGAAGAAGACAAAGCAAAAAACAGCGGGCTGGATGGGGGCGACCCGGTGGCAGCAGTGTCGGGCGAGAACGACTGGGTCGAGATCACGGTCGAGATCCCCGGGTACAGGGACGACGACAGCAGCACCGTGTTCCTGGCCACCATGCTGAGCGAGGCGCTCCTGGCCGACGGCGAATTCACCAAGAAGTTGTGGATCAACCGACGTTTTCACTGGAAGCTGTACATTGACGTGAGTCCTATCTATCTACAAAAATACCTTTTTATATATGCTGCGCCGCCACATTGCGCCCGACAAGACGGATATGGTACATGCATGCATGATGATACACGGATGCGCGATAATGCTAATATATATACACTACTTCGAGAGCAGATCATCCTCATCTCCCCGCCGCTATCCTACCCGCTACCCCTCCTCAGCCTAACGACGCACCTCGCGCTGCTCTCTACCCGCCTGCCCCGGTTAAAATCCGAAGCCGACGAGGATCCCATGTTCGACGACGACTGGGCCGCCTCGCGCTTCATATACCCGCGACAGAGCAGCGACACCACATCCGCCACGGTCGGTTCGCGACCCCCCATCACGCTACTAGTCATGGCGGTAGGCGACAACATCATCTTCGACCCGTCGAAGGAGGAGCTAGCCGTTGCGGATTCCGCGCTCGCGGTCTCCGTGGGCGAGAGGAATGCGCCCGCAGACGAGGCGTCGGAGGCGATGGATGTAGACGGGGAGCCGCAGACGGGCAGGCAGCTGCGGCTATTGTCGGTGCGAACGATAGACCCGCCGTCGCGGTTGACTGCGCCGGGGGTACCCAACGCAGTAAACGCGGCGGCGTGGGGACAAGGTGGGCCCGCGGCCAAGGACCCGGGAGCTCGGGCGGCGGAGATAGACGACGTGGAAGGCGTGTGGAAGGCGCCGAGGGGAGGAACCAAAGTCGCCGTCCTCGGGGCCATGGTACAAAAGGTATTAGAAAAGGGGGGCATTGCGGACGAGGTGTTAGATGGTCTCGATGCGGTCGACTTGGGGTAGCTTTTGTGTGTGTGTGTGTGTGTTGTGTGTCTTTTTGTCGTCGGGAAAAAATTACGATACGATACCATGAAAAAAACAAATTATTAATACCTGCCTACCCTGCTTGCCTGGTCCTGGAGCAGAGAGAAGATATTCTGAATATTCTAAGGGGAGGGGTTGAGGTGAGGATGTGAAGTGGAGAGCAAGTCTGGCCCCATACGCCTAGTATTAAGTAACGGATACTAGGTATCTCACTTCGCGCTACTTTCGTACTTTCCATCCATCCATCCATTTATTTATTTCACTCTCCTGCTTAAAATATCCCGAGGAACTTCTTAGGCTTTTCCTCCGGTGCGACGGCCTCGGCCGTAGCCGGGATGATCTCGGGCGCGGAAGCAGCGACGGCGGCGGGTTCGACAATGGGGATCGATTCGGTAGTCTGCGATTCGAGGGTCTTGTTGCTGCTGGACCAGAATCCCTGGGTGGGCTCTAGGCCGTGGGCCTTGCGGTACTCGTTCCGCTTGGCGACGTCGTCGACCTTGCGGCGGCGCTTCTCGGCGGTGATGGCGGACTCGTGCTCCTCGTGCATGCGCATGACGTCGAGGAGGACGCCGAGGTACTGGAAGGGGTGGCGGGGGAACTCGGAGATGGGGGGGATGAGGTCCGCGAAGGGGGACTTGGCGTTGAAGTTGGTGATGAAAGTGTAGATCGCTAGGGACGTGAGGGTGCCCTGGGTAAGAGGTAGTCTGGTTAGTGGAAAACTGCTGAATAAAAAAAAAACAAGGAGGAGTGTATAGATAGTCTCCATGTAAGTATGAAGTATGAGGCTGGCTTACCAGCGTAATAAATAAGTGAATCCCTCGACTGTGGATGAACCAGTGCGACCAGGTGTTCTCGGGAGGAGGTAAGCCCGGATACGTCTTCACGGCTTGGGCTTTCATCTCGTCATCTGACATGGGTCCTCCATAGTGCCGAGGTGTCGACCTGGGTAGTCGCGCGCCGTGGGACGGAGGGTTGAATCGCTCGGGCTTCTCGAGCACGATGGGTTTCGAAGGGCCGCTGGCGGCGGGCTTAAGGGGTGGTGTGCTCGACTTGGCCGCAGCGGCGGAGGAGAAGGAGGACGCTTGGGTTTTCGAAGTAGAAGTAGTAGTAGTAGTAGCAGCAGCAGTTTTGGGCGGAGAGGCCGGCGTGGGCGTAGCATGCGGGGTGGCGCTCGTCAGGATGGGGTTCTGGGGAGGGACCTCCTTGCTCACGGGAGCGGCGGCTGCTTTCGAAGCGGCGGCTTTGGGCAGAGGCTTCGTGGGCGCGGAGTGCTTGGCGGCTTTGGCGGCGGGGGACTTGGGACTGGTCTTCGTGGAAGATGACCTCGCCGCCGCGTAGCGCACTAGCAGCACCTGTCCGAGCTCGGGGGTTCTTCTCGCGAAGGCGGCGCTGCGCCATAGAGCGCCGTATTGTGGTAGGAGATACCGCGGGATGTAGGTTGTTTTGGAAGCCATCGCGGGGTTCAGAGGGAAGAGGAGGGGGGGCTTTTGCTGCGATGCCGAGTAGGTTGAGGTACTGGTCGAGCTTGGGTTATGTCAATTAGTATAGTAAGAAGTAAGTAAACGGTAGTAAATTAATTGCGATCCTAATAGAGTCGCATGTCTACATAGTAAGTGGGTAGGCACCTACAGGTGTGGGTTGAAGCTTGTGTTGTAATGTACATCCGTTTTTTCTTTGAAATTCCCGGCCCGTGTCGATGTCGAGTACCTAGGTACCTATGCCGATTTCTGATTCCTCTATCCGCTACACGTGACCTACCACCTCCCCCAATCAGAGGCTTCCTTCTAGGCCCACTTTGTGACTTAACCCAATTGGAAGCTTCAGGTATTACTACATGTCACTATGGGTGCAATCTACCTAAGGTTAGTGTGGCTTTACACCACCTGCATTGAATGAGGATCACTCGGGTGGCGCCCTTCATGAGCTGCTGCCAACCTGTCAAGGGGTGTTATTATGGCCCATTAGATGTTTGTCACCTAGCTAATTCAAAATCAAGCCAGGATGAGGCCAATAAGGTCGATGCTACGATTGTAATAATGACTCGGTATGAGACCCATGTATCAATATTATTATCCTTTTTTCTTATAACTCGACCTCTACTATAGGGCCTTTATACTGCTTCTTCCCTGTGACAAAATACCATATAACGGCAAACAATGTTGTGGCCCCAAAGGTCAAGACATTGAAATTGAAGGTCGCCGGAACAATAGGGGTAACAGGCGGCCAAAAGCTCCAAAACCAGAGGACTGACAGATAGACACAGGCGAACACATTATTTAGTACTCCCCAAACTCCCACAACCCTCCACGGGCCCCAGTGTAGTTTGTCTGGCCCGACCCTGGTGATTTCGGGACTATATGGCTTGATGCGGTTTGTCTGCAGTCTACGCCAGAGAAGAAGCACACAGCTGATAAGGTACGAAGAGTAGAGTCCGGCAACACTAAGGTTGACAATGTTGCTGAATGCAACGCCCGAACCAAGTATAATAAGTGACAAAAGTATGGAAATTGACGTGGTGAATGCAATAGTATAGACCGGGATGGATGTACGATGTTCGAGCTGGAAACCGATGTGAGAAAACTCCGAATAACGTTCTAATTAGGGGACAATATATGATTGGGCGGGTAGGTAGCATACCTTGATGAATTGTCTCCAGAACGGGACCCCACGATCTCTTGAGAATGACCATAGCATTCTAGATGAGGAAGCTAGGACACCTACAGTACTGCAGACCCCAAGAACCACAATAATCAGGCCGAGCACTGCTGCACCCGGAGTAGAACCAGTCCCAACCTGAAAGACATAGAGGAATGGGTATCCCAAAGTTGTCTGGGATTCAAGCACCGCGTCAAGGTCCCCAAGGCAAAATAGGTATGCTATCATCATTGCAAACCCGAAAACTCCGTTGAGTACAATGCTCGTGGTTATTGCTTGGGGAACCACGGTTGATGCATTCCTTATCTCTTCGGCCATCTAAAACCCTACCGTTAGCAACCAGGAATGGGAGCTTGGTGATGAGATTCGTACATGAACGGCTGAATCAGCCCCTGAAAGATAAGTACCTAAGTTAGCCTGATTCATCCTTACGACAGATAGCGCAGAGCCGATGCTAATCCATGCACTCACCAATAAGAGAGAACACGGCGGCAGGTAGCCCGACCACGAAAGATAACCCTTGAGTTGGCCATCCTCCAGCGTTGACAAACGTGGTGAACAAGGAAGCATCGCCATGAGGTGATAAATAAACGAGGGGAATAAGAACAGCGAAAAAACCCAGAACATGTAGCACCAATATCAAACCCTCGAAATACGCTAGTGTTTTGCTAGCCACGGTATTGATGAAGACTGCAAAGGCTAATACAGCCCATAGGAAAAGTACTGCTTGCCAGGGCTTGGGGGTGTAGTCGGATTTAAGAAGGATGATGACACTCTGTAGAAGGGTCCCGATAAGGTAAGCTGCAGAGGCAGTGACTGCTTGCCAGCCAGCCATGGTTAACCACCCTAGGTCATGGTGAGCTTTCCGGCCATAGTAGACAGACCAGGAGGGTTAATACCGGTGATATAGCTGAGGAAACGCCTTGAGGAACTGGACGCCAGCATGGCAACCCAACTGCATGCATGTATTAGCAGAATATACTAGTATGTCTGCTCTTATCACAAATGAGGGGGGTCTTAACTGATATTGACCACCTGAGGTAGGAGCCCTTCGAATATCGATTAGTATGAGTCGGTATATATCTCCCAAATCCATACTCACATTGAAGCTAGTTCTGAGAGAACTGTAAATGTCGAGAGAGTGCCAATCCATACTATGAGATATCCCCATATGACTCCTGCCGGCCCCCCACTGTGATGATGATTTAGTGTACAGCGCACAATGAGAGGATGTTAAGCGCAAGCCTTACTTCAATAAACTCTGGGTTGAGACTCTAAGATAAGGTTCTGTTAGTTCTCATATTCCAATATCAGACCTTCCACGTAACGCACATAAGCATGCCCTCCCAAGTGATCAACACCGTGCAAGAGAACCCAAGAACGGACATGAAACCGAAGTTCCGCTGAGAGTTATATTAGAAACCTGCAGAGATTGTTGAGCTAGAGCCTCACCTTCAAAACTGGCTTTTTGCCAAGTCTGATGAGGTCTTTGTCGTCTCGCGTTAGGTCGCTACTGTGATCGACACTTTCTGCGGCAATGACAGGTGCTTCATCTTTGACTCGTGGTTGAAGTTCCATTATGGTGTAATGCGCGTTTCTGTTTGTTAGCAGGGCAAGCGACTGAGTACCTATATATGCAGTTGTGGACGATGGGCACTTACAAAAGGGACTGCGCGAGAGGACAGAGCACGATGAGGAGAAAGGGGAAGCGAGGGGGAAGCGGGAGGGGCGAGCCCTTCACTGTTGGTCGTTGGCCATGGAGATTGACTATGTGAGAGCCGCCTGTTGGGGGTTACATTGCATAAATACAATGGGAAGTACCCATGCAGGAAAACGCATGCATTCCAAGTTCATAGTATGCTCCGAGCCCTCTAAGAATCGCTGTTGGTTCAAGGTATCATCGAGACTACCTACAGGATCCAGGCCTCCTTAAGCCATCCCTTGAGGTTGGCTCCGCTGTTCTTAACTTTGACACAGCCAGTTCTCTCTTACAGATTCTTGCACTGCTCTTCCTCTACTTCTGCCTCCTTTTTGTGGCAGCCCAATTCGTGACCAAATATGTTCTGGGGAAGGGCTGTGGTGTGCCGGACTTGATATTATTCATAACATTCATGGGTAATTACTAGGAATCCTGCTGATATGTTCATTCCGGCTTACTCTAACGGTGGATTGTAGCTTCTAATCACTGGCCAGTTTGCAACTTTACTGAGTCAGGACGGACGTCAAAATACATAAAGATACGGTATCAACGGAGCTGGTCTCAAATCGTTGAACTGGAAACTCAGGCTTTTCGAGCGGTCAATGACTGACAGTTGTTACATTGAATGTAGCAAAGATTTATTATTAAGTTTGTCATCGGAAGGTCCAAATGTTACCATCTCCGTTTTCCCCTCTATCCTCACGGTCAGCCCCTTCGTGTGTAGCACATTGGCAACTACACAAGTGTCGTAGAAGACGCCTTGGGCAATCGCTAAGAATCCCATTTACGCGGTTGTTATTGAGAAGGTACTGGAATTTATATTATAGCTAAGTTGACTCAAACGATGCCTCGGAGATAATCGCAAAATTCAATCCCACCTGCGCCCATATTCTCAATTCCCCTATAGCCGCCTACTACAGAGGATGATACCGTTCTCAAAGATACAGAATATGAGCTCCTTACTAGCCCAGCAAGAATGATTCCAAGTGTTGTATATACTTCTCACGTTGATCGACGTGGGCGAAGTGGGCGGCGTTATCCAGCGTAACCCATTTGACCTTCTCAATGTGATGGAAGAAAGGTTGCATGGCTACATCCTGTGCCTCATCTTGAGCACCATTCAATAGAAGTGTAGCTGCCTTTATGTTCTTCAACTCGGGGATGCAAGTCCAGTTACGGAGCGAGCCCGAAATATATAACTCACTCGGACCGTACCTGAAGCCCGTCAGCACACCAATGATTCCTACGCATGTTGTAATCCATGCGGCAAGAAGAGGCTTACATTGTTCCGTATGTGGTTGGATCCTCGGAAAACCAATGAAGCGCAGCTTCAACTTCCTTCGGTGGCCATGGTCTAGCCAGGCTCAAATGTCTCTTATAGAAGACTTCGACCGCGTCTTGATACTGCTGACTTTCAAAATCCAAGGTCTCATCAGCTCGGTCCAGGACCTCTTGGACCTCACGAGGTAGCTGCCTTCGCAGAGCGTTGATCCCAATTCGCCATACATCCATGCTAGCTAAACTGCTAGCAATGACAAGACGGCGGAGATTAGTAGACCTTGCAGCCCACGAAGCGATGAACATTCCGCCCCAAGAATGACCATAGACATCGATTGGTCGGTCTGCTAAACCGAGATGTTGTATAAGATTCTGAAGCTCATCAATGAAAAGTTCCGGGGTCCAGAAGGCCTCGTCTTTGTCCTTTTCCCGCAGATGAGTCGATCTTCCATTGCCAATCTGATCATAGAAGATGAGCGACATTGAAGGTGCTAGGTCCGTGAGCGGAAGTAAGTACTCATGGCATGCGCCAGGACCCCCGTGGACAACGATCAGGGGGACTTTGTCCGAATTGAGATCCCCGATAACTTTGTACCACGTCTCACAAGGTGTGGGAATGCCTGGAACAACAAACCGAGCGACACCCTCCATGGTGATGTTAGGAAAGCAATCGAGGAAGGATGAACTGCAAAGAGCGACTTGGAGTTGAGAAGAAGTTAGGGTGTTAATAAGTGTGCTTGAAGAGATGGTAATGCCCCATATTTGGAGGCGGGCAATGAGTGTTAGAAAGGGAGAAACTACCTATGTTGTTAGTACGTTACATGCAGGCAGGTAGCATTGTTAGCTGCGGCCTACTTAACCTACCCAACTGAGTGATCTTTCGTCCAATGACACAACTTAATACTTCCCTTCTTGCACCCTTACTAAGAAAAGAACTCGACTCAAAGGCATGCGGCAATTGAAAGTGATTTTCCGCCATGACCCCTACATACGTAAACGAAAGTAAGTGACGTTCACTGCAGCATGCATGTGCAAACCCCGCCTCGTTCCGTCCCGTTGGGTGCAAATTTGGAAACACATTTACAAATACTTACAGGTATAAAAGAACAAGCGAAGCGCAGAAAACCATTAGCCCTGTTAAGAATCGAACCTGAAAAGTGTGTGTGTATTGTCTATGTAAAAGATTTTTTATTTTTTATTTTTGTTTCAGCAAACAATCACTCAACACTGAAGAAGAGCAGGAGAGCCACGTCCGTGTTTCTTGCCGAGGGGGCGGGCCGGGTCGCCGGTCGCCGGTGGGAATTCACGAACGCCCCGTGACTAAGTGCTCCTTAGCGCATTAAGGAATCCGACGACATCCCATACAAACTCCGTGAACTATATAACAGGTACCTATCCTAAATTACTTAATTTACAACCTATTAAAGTTTTTAATTTGTCTAATTGGGATTTCCTAAAATTAAAGCATGATCTAAAGTGACTGTCATGAAAAATACAAAAAGAACTACCAGAAGAAGAGACCAAGGAAAGCTCTTGGCGAGTATAAAGCTACAGTGAAATACAGGATAATGTAGATGATCAGGAACTTAGGAAGCAGCTACATTGATATTTGAGGGTAATATTAAGCACCTACCTCTGTGTATCTAACTACCTAAGATTGGAAGTTACACAGGGAACCATAAAGCATATCAGTTGCTTTTACAAGTAGCAGCCACCATGGAGGACTCTTTACCTAAATCAAACATTACAATACGTAAGACCTAGCCCTTATCTTATACCTAGGTACCTAACCTAAGGTACCTTACTTATTTAAGTCCCACCAACCTGTCCTATTCTTCCCTCTTACTTCACATATTTACCATGCAGGGGAATTAACCTACTCCTGAAATGATACAACAAATTATCCTCGACATGACTGGGTAATACCTATTATATTACTGAAAGAAGATACTTAATTTTCTAGCCCTCCATGCTGATGAAAGATGTACAATAGAGGAGCTCACTATGAATGACACTATTGAGTAGCAGACCAATTGCGATCCTCTACCCCGTTCAATGAGCAGGGCCCGTCCTGTCTCAGATTGCGATATCGAAAGAGCATTGATTTGCTCCTCTATATCTTTTTGAGAGCCTAAGGTACGTCTCCTCCCTTCTTCCTTACTTCCCTTCCTCTAACTTATCCTCTTGACCGCCTTACGCTAATAAATATTTCAACTTTGATCATAGCGTGAGGTAGATACTTAGCTTTGACGACGCGGTTGCCTTGGGTATCTCTCACCTTCTTTCACGACTTGCAAATAAATTCAAATAAACTTTTCAGCACGCTTCAACAATTCAACACGGCTCGTCTACTTCACCACAAACCTAAGGTATTATTACCTGGGTGCCAGTACAGATCAACGAACTGCATCCTTCTAAGTATTTTTAATGAGCCCTATTAGGCATCACTATCCTTTTACCTCAAAGTTATCAACTGACTGGCGTCCTGAACATGACGATAAAAGGTTCCAGCGATGATGTCTCTGGAACTTGTACGACAGCGAGAGACAACCCTCTAAGATTTAAGAGGGCATTGGACAACTCTAAAACTTGGGTAACCAAGAAGAAATAGGCCGGTGATGGAGTCCATCCAGGGCATCTTGAACTGGATTCCAACCGTTGACGAATATACCACTCGAGGATGAAACATAGAGGTAGGTAATCCTTAGCCACGATTGCAGCAGACAACTTGCAATTTATTTACTAAACAAAAGCTACAGTCTAATCGAAGCTACCAAATTACGAAGGCCAATTACAAAGGCCAACGGGCTAACTCATGAAGAAAATTTCGCTATTTTTATTCCGCGTCAGCTATCAGCAGTAAGAACTAGCTGCAATTAGATGAGTGAAGAAGCTCAGAACATTGATGAATATGTCAAGTGTGCGGAGCTAAATCGCACAAGGACAAGCTCAAGGCACTATCCATTCAGCATACGATTCCAATACCCATTCGCGTTAAGTCACACTCCAAAAGAATCCGGCAACAAAACTCTGATACGTTCTGAGTAATGACGTTAAAATACTCAACAAACTTGAAACCACCAACCTGAGTCTCTATCTACCATATTACTCGGGTACATGTGAGCCTACATGTGAGCCTTGTCAATTATTTAATTGCCTGCGCCTCTGATCAAGTCCATGGAGTGCGCTATAATATTACTCAGCAACAATCTTCCATGAATAAGAAGCCACGCGTGTTACCTGATGTACTGATTAAGGCGAAGTTGTTCATGACACGCACCGGGTCATATCAGGCGTTACATTACAAGATTGCGGCACTAATAGAGCTGCCGAATGATGGATTTGTCATGGTACCGCCTGTGAGGGAGGTCCTTATAGGTGGACATAGCAACGTCAACCCCTCAAGTTGACATGATTCCACCTTTTGGCAGTGTAGCGGTTTGATAGCTATCTTCCCGAACCCTCACAGGGACTCTCATTATCATCACTTCGCTATCATTGGTGGAACACGCCGTTGCTATCCTACTTGTTGAATATATAGTCGTCATATTCACGCGGCAATACATATCCAAGACCAAGGCGTAAAGATTGGACTGAACATATTAAAGCCCATCATCATATTGGTACTACTATTTCTAGTCACAATGCGACAAGCTTGGAAGACATCTCCGACCCCACGCACACACCCTATTTAAGATATTACCAAGAACCTGAGTCGAGTCTCGACAGAAACCGCAATACAATTCAAGCGCAATGTCGAGAAACTGAGAGAAAGAGGAAACGTGTCTACTTGATATTTTCATCAATTTAATGCGAGAAAGATAACCGGAAAGTGCCGTAGTGGACTTGGTGGTCTTGCCTCATGGTCCTGTTCAACGATTGAGCTGATCATCGCCACAACAGCGACATTAAAAGAGATGTGATAAGATAGAGAGAAACACAGGACACCGATATACAAATATCTCAGCTGAAAAAGGCAAGACATTTTGGAGTTACCGAAACTCCTATCATCAGTTGGCATTCATGTATTATCGACATGATATGTTGACTACCGTATTGCCTCATTGTCGCATACACTCACAACCAATATTCTCTCTAGTGGATCTTAATTATTACTTGGAATATTAAACTTTTGTATACTATTATCTAGGTCTAAGAGGCGAAGCTCGAGGCGCAAACATGAACGTATATATATCGATGCCGTCTCTTTCGAGCTAGGCTCTCCCTCTGGTCTCGTCTATATAAGGCACCTAGATACCTAGGTAGGTTAGGTATCTTAGGTTAGGTAGTCATGCAAATCATAAATTGCCATTATCATTCTTACTCTTTTCTTTAAATATGTTATCATCCCCTTTTACGGACGAGGAGGTGAGACATCATCATCTTCTGCATAGTATCCAGAAGACGATTTAAGCGTCTCTTCTCATCGTCCTTAGTTTTGCAGGAAAGGCGAACACCCCGCTCAAGTCCACAGCGGCACTCCGTCGATGGCTCTTGCTGCGGCCCTGGTCCCGATCCCGGTCCCGATCGCGATCTCGGTCCCGGTCTCTATGTCTCGAAAAAGCCGCGGCTTCGGCACGGTGCTGCCGCGGTCTTTCCGACGAGGGGCCCGAGGCGATGGTAGACAGCGTGGAGAAGAAGCGCGGCCGCGGCCGCGGCTGCGGCGCAGACACGTGCCGGTTGCGGGTTGCGTCCGGCACGGCGCTCAGGTTGGCGGCGGTCAGCGGCGTGGGAGCTGCTGCTGGTGCTGGTGCTGCTACCCCCCCTGCGCTCGTCGTCGGCACCGCGCCCCGAACCCGGAACTGCTGCTGCGTCGCCGAGTACGGGTTGTTGGATCCCCAGCTGCGCTGCTCCTCCTCCGTCCCTCCCCCCCGCGCCGCCTGGTACTTGTCGCGGATGTAGTTCTGCGTCACGAACGACCGCCCGTCTTCCGTGTCCGAGTACTCGCTTCCTTCCTCCGGGTCCTGCTGCGACGCGGCGTACGTGTATTCCTCGTCCCACCCGGTGGACTCGGACGTGTCCTCGTCGTCGCGGTACTCGTTCTCGTGGCCGTGTCTTTCCGCATACGCGCCCCGCTGCTGCCGCCGTTCTTCTTCCGCTTCGTAGACTTGCTTTTCGTAGTACGAGGAGGCTGTTTGCGGGTCTGGGCCTTCTGTGGTCCCCGTGTAATGAGGAAGAAGAGGAGGAGGAGAGGAGTGGCGGAGTGGCGGGTTGGACTGGCCGAGGCTCGACGGGTCGTACAGCCGGGTACCGCCTTGGGACGGCGACGAGTGGGCGCCGTAGCTGTGGCTCTCGGGATAGTCCTCGTACCGCCGGAAGAGCAGGGGCCGGTTCTGCATTTGCACGGTCGCGTCGCGGTACGTGAGGACGTCGTTCCCGGCCCATTTGATCATGCCGCGGAGGTCGGATGGGAAGGCATTCGGGTCCATGATTGCTTATTAGGATAGGATGGGTTGGGTCGGGTATAGGTAAGGCTGCGGGAGTAGCTAACGAGTAGGTAAACTAGACTAAACTCAACCAAACCAAACCCGGGAAGAGAGAAAAAAAAGGAATGAAGAGAAATATGCCCAGGGGTATGTATGTGTGTCTGGTCTCTGGTAAACAAGAAGGAATATATACGAGAAGCGAATGTGGAAATATATGCGCGTTAAACACAATTGTGATGAGGATACCGCATAGTAAGTAAAGTAGAGGGAGACAATAAGGAACTATTAGACGTTCTTCAACTGGCCGCCAATTATTAACTTCAAGTACCTTAGTTATACTTTTTCATTCCGAGGAATCATCTTCATAGTCGATAGATAAAAGAAAGCTCCACGATTCGATACAGTTCAAAGGAGTGCCACCACGTCCTTTTAAGCAAGCATATGGTTAAAGAAGGGTCTGCCTACCTACCTAAGCTCGATTGGTTCCTGTCACAATGGATTGTAGTAGTTTGGTTGAAGAGAAAGCACATATGCGTAGGGTAGGTTGGGTACCTCTAATGTGTGTCAATGCTATTCTTAGCTAGCCCCTTTTTTTTGAGAGAGAGAGTTGGCAAAGAGGTCGAGGGATTTCAGCATTTTGCTGATACAAAGAATATCTAGTCAAAGTGTCGAGGTAATTGACATGACCCAACAGAGTAAGTAGTATTGTCTCATCTCATCACCTATGTGGTTCTTTAACAGTAGAGTGCGTGTATACATCAACACGTACCTAATTCAAGACATGGCAATACAACACAATTAGGTGTACTCACAGATGATACCAAGACTTACGCTCCTGTCAAAAAGTGTCGAGTACCTGATTAACCACATTAAATCTATTCACGTCCGGACGATGTGGCAACGGTCTATTACAGGTACCTTCGGTAGGTTATCTAACCAAGGACGTTCCTGAAGCTAGCCAAGTATGATGTTATCCAACTGCTCGCGATCCAAACGCGACTGCAGCGCCGCTCTCAACAGTCCCCTACTCTTTGTAATGGCCGGCACGACCCCGTCGATCTGCTGCAAGTTCCCCCGCATGCTCTCCATGTGGCTCGCGATCTGGCCCGCCAGACCAGCCAGCTCCTCCTCCTCCTCCTCGTCCAGACCGGCGAACACTTTGCCCGCGCTTTTCTCTATGGGAACAGTTTCTCCCACAAGGGAGTCTACCCCCGACTCGGGTCGTAGTGGTTTCTTCTCGGGCACCAAGACGTGCATCTTCCGGATCTGATCCCTCCTCTCCCTCGCCTCGGCCTGCGCGTTGGACCCGAGCCGCGCGAGCGCCTTATACTCGCTCTCGAGCTCCTTTTCGGCGCGCTCCTTCTCGCGGCGCAGCAGCTCGACGCTGTGCAGTAGGGGGTCGAGCTGGGACTCGAGAGCCTGGATGCCGGAGACGGTGCGCTCGAACTCGAACTCCTCCTCGCGCCGGGTCGACGTGGTGGCCGGGGGAAAAGGTAGGCCACGCGCGATTTTGGAGCAGAGTCGCTTGCTCACGGCATTCAGAGCCGCCGAGGCTTGCGTGTGTCGTTGCGGGTTGGTGCTGAGGCGCAGGAGGACGGGGCGCGAGGCGGATTGGAGCAGAGAGGCTACGCTCGCTAGGGCGGGCTGCTCGAGAGCTGTCCATTTCGACTCGATGATGTTGAGGGGGACGCGGCGCGTACGTGTTGCGAGGTGTCGGTAGCGGGGAGGAGAGGTAGCGGAATCGGGTGATGATGAACGGTCTTGCGCGTCTGGAGACTGTTTCCGTCTCCTGGATTTTGGGGACGTCTTATTAGATTGTGTCTTGTGCTTTCTGGGGCGGTTCTCCTCCTCTACAGGTTCATCTTGGTTTTGTGCTGGCGCGTCTTGGGATTTCTTTCCCTTTCCTTTCGTAGATGACGAAGCCTCTTCATTAGATGATGCTGCTGGTGGTGGACGGCTACGTTTCTTCAGCCGACTTTGGGGCCCAGGGTCGGTTTCTGTATCTGCATTTGCTGGGGGTTGGTTGATGAGGGAAGGACGGCCTCGTCTTTTCTTTAGGGGGGGAGCAGCATCTTGTTCCACATTAGCCGCACCCTGTTTATTTATTGGAGGACGTCCTTTCTTTTGGAGTTTATGGGATGGTTGATCGTCCGATTTCTGCTTGTTTGTTGGCTTTGCTGTCTCTCGGGCCCCTTTATTCGAAGAGTTTGGCGATCGGCGAATTCGTCCGCTCCGTCGAACAAGACTTGAGTCACCCTCGTTTTCGTCGTCGGCCTCATCTTCTTCGACCTCGTTGCTCTTATTCCCTTCTACCCCTTTCGTTGGCCGACCACGCTTATTTCGAGGCGCATTTTCATCCGCCACATTAGATGTATTCTCTTCTTGAACATTGGGCTTCGCATTCGTTGAAGCTTGAGGGTGACCGCGTTTTCTTCGCTCGGTAGGTACTGTCTCTATCTCCTGGTCCCTTTCTTCTTCGTCTCTATCGTTTCCATCTTGTGGTATCGGTGATGGCCCGCGTTTCCTCTTAGCTTTCTGTGTTTGCGAAGGTTTAGGTTCGGGCTGTGATTGAGATGAAATCTCGATGTTTGCTGGGCGCCCGCGCTTCCTAGGACGGGATGATTCTTCCATATCTGATTCCCTCGTTGTTCCAGAAGTTGTAGTTAACCGGCCTTGTTTCGAAATGGTGAGTTGGGATCCTGACGCGTCACCGTCGTCGCGCGACACGTTGACGGGACGGCCTCGTTTGCGTTTCTGATTTGCAGCTTCCGGCGCCTTGAGTTATCGTGTAACGTTAGTTTGGAAATTTTAGGTAAATATGAAGAGGTACCAAGCTGACCATTAGGTATTCTTAAATTTGGGGGTTATGAGTTTATCACTGCTTTATAAAAAGAAATAAAGTCGGTAATACTATGTAACCTTTGTGTTACCTTTACTATGTACTTGTTTGCTTCTACCTCTTCAACTATCTTATCGTGATTGACGTATTCCCTTATCGTATCAACTTTATTACTTTATTACTATGTCAGGTTAGGCATTTGCTAGGTAATGTTTGCTACTTACCTAGGTACGTGTAGATTTAGGTAATTGTGTGACCGCGTCACATAGTACTTTTTTCCAAAGTACCTAGGTACATATGTAGGTACTTTAGATATTGTTCATAGTATTGTGCCACAAATCATGCGGGGCTCAGCGCTAACAGGGATAAGGGTGACATTTACCTTTCCACTGAATCCAAGTCAACAAAATAATGCACAATCATAGGTGGAGTTAGTAAGCTTGGCAAGAAAATGTCGGGAAGGAGGGTGGGAACACTATATGCTCCTATGTACTACTACATACCTGTATGTAGGTATTTACCTAGCTGTCCGGGGAAGTTTAGCTGTTGGAAAGACCGAACGAGTTGTCCTAGGACCCTAGACAATCCGTTGTTTGACACATTTTTATTTTCCTTTCTTTTAAATCCCTCGACCTGACTTGATTCTTACACTAGGTATAATAGACCTTTTCCTAGTTCACGACAGCTTACCGTCGCAGTCTTGAGGTTCGACGTCATTGTTACCTAGATATATCCTTATCTTTATCCTGATCCCTTAGGTATCCTTATCCTACAGGATTCTCTTGAGTTCTCTCTTTCGGTACCTTCGATTGGGTTTTTATACTTTGGTCCTACCGTGCTGGACAAAATCACATCAAATTACATCATTTTCTCGACCTGTTGCGGCTTGATCTCGATCTGAGCTATCTACCAACTAATAACAAGATGCGATTCTCTACAACCTCAGCCATTCTCAGCTTGCCGCTGTTAGCAGCTGCAGATGTCCCTAACTACCGAGCTCAGTTTGATAACTACTTGGGCCAGGCCCAGGCCGTTATAGGCAAATTCGCTTCTAAGATTCCTCATCCTAACAAACATAATCCTGCCGCTGCTGCCGAGGCTAAGGCTGGTGCCTTGAACCTGGATATTCTGTCTTTGGATAACTGGAAGGAGACCCTTTATGGACCCGTGAAGCCCGACAGCAAAACTCCGGTGGAGTGGTGGGTTCTGATCACGGGTGGAAACAAGACTTGTTTCGGTAAGCATCTCTATCACCACTTCTATCACCACTCGCCACCTTGATCCCACACTTGAACATGGTTCTCCTAACGCTAATTAGGCCACTGTGGAAAGATCGAGGCTGCGTTCAATGAGACCGCTGGAAAATGGGCTCTGACACCCGGGAAGCCTCATACTGCTCTGCTCAACTGCGAGGACCAACCTGTTCTTTGCAACTCCTGGTCTGCCCCAGCCGGTGCGCTGTGGATCTTCGAGATGCTTCCGGAACCGGCACCTGTGAATATTTCGACGAAGCGGTTCAACATGACAACTGTCACTTCCGATGACTTTGTCGAGCTGCAGGAAAATGGTTACAAGTCTGCCACTCACCTGCATGACGGCTTCTTCCATCCTTTCAACGGCCCTCTTGCCAAGAATAGCCTTGCAGTTCCAGTTGGTTGGGTCCTCTGGGCCTTCAGCCTTCTTCCCAGCTGGGCGTTCATGATTCTTGTTTCCATTTTCAGCAGGAGCATGATGTAAGTCATATAAATTCCGTATACTGTAATGCAGAATAAGTGACTGACGATACTACAGGAGCAACCGCCTAAACCAACAAATGGATGGCGGTCGACGACCTGCTGCCACTGGCCAAGCTGCTCCCCGAAGATAATGGTGATGTATAGCGGAAGCATATTGGACACTCGCTATAAAACTGGCTGTGCTCATATCGGGGTGCGGCTCGAGGAGCTTGGCTATAAGCATTATGTATCATTGGGTCGAGGTCACGTAGGTAGTGATAGTAATAAATGGGAATGTATCATGAGATTCATATCTTGCGTTCACACACGTCCTGCATGCGTTCAAGGCCATCTAGAACCTCGTCTTTTAGTTTTGGGTTGACGAATCGACCATACCGAAGATCGCTCATGTTGCCAACAGCCTGCCTAATAGACTCGAGGAGAGCAGCCTCCTCCTGCTCCATTGCTTGTAACTCACGCTCCATGTCAGCGATGGCATCGTCCATTGCGGGTAGGATAGTCATTAGAGTATGTTGCTTCGGCTGTATCGTACTGGAGGTGGATCCGAACAACTACAACTTGAATTAGAGATTATGTCTTGACTTCGTATTTTTGGGTTGATGACGTACCATTCGTTCGATTTCAATCTCATCATCTTGTTCCTCTAGCTCGGCTTCTCTTCGAGCCTTTATCACCTCTCGGCGCAAAGCTTTACCTTGCCTGACCTGAGCGTCTATATTCTGGGAGACGCCATCTACTACTGCGTTGCGCTGCTGCTGTAGATCTCTGTAGAGCGACCGGATCTGCGGGGAGGCTTGTTGTGATTTAGGGAATAGGGAAATGAATTCTTGCAGAGAGATGATTGTAGGTAGACGAGCAGGGAGGAGTAAGTAGTTTCGCAAGATGGTGGATTCGTTCGTTGCCATGATGTAGTTTACTATGTGAGTTGAACTAAACAGAATTCAGTCAAGATTAATTCTGTGTGTGTTATGTGTGTGTGTGTGTTTGTTCGGTTTCAGATGAAACAATACTTATTAGGATAAATGTTGGAGTACCTAATGTTGGCGCACCGGGGCGTGAATGGAAGAAAATCACTTTAAACCAAAGCGCGTCGAGAAAACGCGTCCGAGCTTTTGGCGTCGGCCAGCCGATAGGGTGATAAGTTGATAAGGTGAAAGGTGACAGGGAGGTAATAGGTACCTATAGCGTGATACCTGGTACCTACCTAACCCGCCCAGCTACTTAGCATACATATGTACCTCCATAGTAATTCACGGGCCTTAGATAATACTGTACCCTCCCCTGCTTCCACTCTCTCTTTCTCTCTCTCTCTTAACTTCATACCTACCAATAAGATCGGTGCTAAGGACTTCAATAACTTTCTCATTCACCATCTTAAAACATCATTCTTCTTACTTAACTCAATTCATCATTCTTTCTCACTTTGGTTTATGGCACTTGTCATTTCCACCTTTTTTTTTCTTCATAACCAGTATCTTCCCTGTTAAAGTCCCCCTTGACCCCCCCCTTTCCATCATTCATCGTCTATTCCGTCTTATCGTCTTTTCAAGGTGAATTCATAATACCAATTCACAGGCTATGGCCCCCCCGAGACAGAACCAAGCTCCTCCTTTTTCCAAGGACGAGAAAGTATTGTGTTTTCACGGTGACCTGATGTATGAGGCCAAAATCATGGAGGTCAGTGTCAAGTCTGGTCAGAAGCCCGAGGATGCGCAGTATCGTATCCACTACAAAGGGTGGAAGGCGAGCTGGGACGACTGGGTCTCCCAGGACCGCATCCGCAAATTCACTGAGGACAACAAACAGCTCGCTAGTCAGCTGGAAGCCCAGGCCCGGATGCGAAGTTCTGGCTCTAAGGGAGGAAAGAAGGGGATTAAAGCTAACGGTTCCGAGATGAGTTCTGCTCGAGGTAGTGAAGAGCGTGTCGCCGGATCTTCGAGCTTCGGTAGAGGCCCACGACGTGGTAGGGATTACGAACTTGAGAACGTAAGTCAAACTAGTTTTCCCCTTTATTTTCTTTCTATTTTTTTTTCTTCTTCTTTCTTCATATCATAATGTGTTGGGTTCTGCATAAATGGAAGCCGTGTATGCTTCCGATTAAGCCGTCAATTTTCCTATACTCGGATCAATAGAGTCTACCTGCTAGGAATCAGGACGACAAGTATTCGGTCATGAAGACACGGAATTCTTCATTGGGAGTGTGGCTCGTGAAATAAAACCAACTTGGTCACGCTCACGACACTTTTTGGTTGAAATAACTCCATGGCTATGGTCCGGTCCGGTCATATCGTGGAAGATTTCACTACGACCTGCTACCTAACCCAATCACGCCTGATATCAGCAGGACAGATAGGAGCTCGTAACTGCGCGAAATAACCCTCGAAGTTTGATAAGAGATGTACCAAGGCCTTCATCACTTGTGTCACTCACGCTCATCAGCTTGGGAGTCACTGTGCTGGCGTCTGCCAACAATCATCCCGAGAAAAAAAAAAAGAAAAAAAAAACCACGTTGTCAGGTTACCAATGCTGGGAGCAGTTCTACTAGGCAGCTAGCAATCTTCCCAACCCCATTCATTCGGGAAACGAAATCTCTTATCATTGAGGGGTTCAACTTGCAGCCTAATTCTTTTTTTGAGAAAAGAGCTTCTCGTTTCGTAAGGACCACCTAACGAAAACTTTTCTCTACTCACAAAACCTACGCTCCTACTACACTGACTACCAACGTAAATTTGGGCTAGTCGAATTTCTTGTCGACGCCTAAACACATTCCTTCCGTGACAAACTGCACACACCTTCTTGACAACTCCTCCATTTCATCTCGCTATACCGCCGCAGCATAGCAACGATGGCGGGCAGAAAGCAAAAGCGCGTGGTTTCCATCAATGATTACGAGCTTCCGCGTAGGCGAACTCGAAGTCAGAGAATCCAAAACCTGTTGTTAGACTCTGCTGCTCCTCATGACGATCTAAAAATTGTTGGTGGTGGCCCTACTTCCGAGGACTCTGCTCCGGCCTCGAAGTTAGCTATATGCCGGAGCCCTATCATTGATCTAGAGTCTGCTATACCAGTACCTGAATGCAGCTCCAAGCCTGTCAGCAAGAAGGCGTCCAAGGCGGTGCCCAGAGAGGCCCCTAAGAAACTTGACGGATCTGAAAAGGCACCTGCAAAAAAATCACCCATGCTGTCGCGTGGAACACCAAGCGAGACCACTTCCAACAAGGAACCCCCGATCGTTACTGGCGCCTTTATGACGACCCCCTCGTCCATGACATTGATGCCTTCACCTGGACTTTCTCTGGCGGATAAAAATATTACCACACGCCAAAGAACATTTAAGCAGAAGGAGCAGCGGTTCGCACGCAAAGGAGATGGGACAGATTTCCTTATCCAACTGCCAGTCCCTAGTTTTCAATACGTCACCAAGAAAGGAGCATTTGTCATTGACGATGACCGATTCGGATTTCTTCATCTTGTCAAGGATCATCCTAAGATTACGGAAGCAGAGCAGAGTCGCACATTGACCCGTGCGAAGGAGATCTGGTACCGAGGGATGCCCGACCATATAAGCATCCCAACAGCCGGGATGCCGTCAGAAAAATTTTACACAAATCCCAACGATGATTCCGTAAATCTAGAGCTTATGTAATGTTTTCAGGGTCGCGATGCTAATTCTTATTCTCTAGGAAGACGCATTTCACGCCAGACCGTCTATCAAAATTTTTGTTCCTGATATCCTGAAGGCAATGCTTGTCGACGATTGGGAAAACATTACCAAGAATAACCAACTTGTTCCTCTCCCTCACCCTCACCCCGTGACTAAGATCCTTGAGGACTATGCCGCCTATGAGACTCCGAAACGCCCTGCAGGTTCATCCCACGTGGACATCCTTGAAGAGACTTTAGCTGGCCTGAAAGAGTATTTTGACAAATCTCTTGGGCGTATCCTCCTCTATCGGTATGTTGCGCCCCTATTAACTATGAATGACCTTCTAATCCAGGATAGATTCGAGCGCGCCCAATACGCAGAAATGTATAAGAAGTGGATGTCTGATGACGCTGAATATCAAGGCAAGACTGCAAGCGATACCTATGGTCCTGAACACTTGATGCGTCTAATCGGTAAGCTATTTTGTCGTATTAGTCTACGACTCGAGCTAATTTCTTTCTTGCAGTATCGTTACCGGAGCTTGTTGCTCAAACCAATATGGACCAGCAATCGGTCAACCGCCTGCGTGAAGAACTGGTTAAGTTCTGCACCTGGTTGTCAAAGAACACCACGGAGTACTTCGTTAGCCATTACGAATCTCCCCCTCAGGACTATATCCAGAAGGCCAAGGACTAATTTGATGTTCGTCTTCCGGTTATATCCATGACTCCTGGAATTTGTGACTCTTCATCTGGCATGTTCTACTATTTAGAGTCGTGTCGAAGAACCAAGATAGACATCCCCTCCGCCACAGTACGGTCTTTGGTGCTTCTAGCTCCGAAACGATATTTTTCGATTCCCTTGTACGAATACTAGATTTCATACGGTCGATGCGAAAAAAAAAAGGGTTTTCTGTTAGGGCGTTTTGCCAGGGTTACGCATACCACAGGGGGCCACCAGGAAATGAAACTTGTCCGCCTGTAACATAAAAAAGAAGGAATAACTTGCGATACTGGTCTAGACGTTTTTATTTTGAGGATTTGTTTGATTTTTCGAGTTTCCGTTTTTTTTTTTAATAATAATTACACCAGTATTGCGCCGAGTCGTCTTAAGATTTTATTATATACATTAGGTGACTGTCAAGTTCATCACAAGATCCCTTGGCCTGTGTCGACTAGGTCGAGGTTTAGTGTAATGACAAGGTCCATGGCCCGAAAACAAGTTCTTCATCTCAAGTCCTTGTTTTCATGAAGATTGCAATCGGATAATCCTCGACTTACTATGTAATTCCTGCTGGGAGTTATGAGATCCGCCAACACCGCGTAAGGGGAACCCTGGCTCGCCTTGCTCCGTTATAGCCGCGCGTACTTGCCTAACCTAGGGTTAGATATGTGTACCTCATACATGCGAAAACCAAGGCAATCAATGGTTTGCGATAGAAACTATTTCGTTTATCACGTAGCAGGGGATTCGGGGAAAGACTTAGGTACTTATAGGCAAGTTAACGTAGTCGTGGATCAAAATGAAGCGTCAACTTGCCTTCAGCTTCCAAAAATTCGGGCTCGGAGTTAGGGTTCTCCCTACGAAACAGTAAAGCCACCTACCTGCTTAGGTACCTGCCTACCCAAGGTACCCAAGCTACCTATCTAAGCTTACCTACCACATGCATCCCCGGAACCAACAACATCACAACAAGATCGATTACTACCAGGTATGTATGGAAAGGACAAGTATACAGTTGCTGTGCCGCTTCGCCGTACCAGTCTGTCTATGGGACTTGTAGAGTTAGGTAGGTCACGTACCTACCTAGGTAGGCTTGGGTACGTTATCTGAAATGATACCTAGTCGTAACAGGAACGGCGCATGCTTTTTCTATGCCTGGAAGTACGAAGAGGTGGTATATGTCGTTTTGCTTCGGGGAGATTATATGCGATATGATGACGTGGAAAACATCATATTGACTCAAGGCTGAACGAAGTTGGAGCGTAAATCATGAATCCAATATTGACAATTACGAAATGGCGTCTAACACCACACCTCACACTCAACAAAATTTAATTCAACACCAAGACAAATTATAGTTTGAGTATTATATCTCCATTCAACAAAAGAGTTCTTTTCATCTACACACTACACTACATACACAAGAATAAAACGAAGGCTGGCGGCGGCGTCGTCGTATGAGCCTTGTCAGCACACGTACTGCCTTTTTTTCATTTGATATCGGGCGCGGCGAGCTCCTGAGTATATGATAAATAGTCCAAAGATACTGCTGCTCAGCCTTCTTCCCACGCCTTCTCGGCGACCAGACCGGAGACGGCGGGGATTCAAGAATCAGCCAAGAACTGCGTTTAATCCAAGACTCTTTCAAAAACTGATCCGAAATAATAGGAAAATGCTTTGCTCTGGTTTCTCTGCGCCTTTATACGGCGCTTCCAAAACGTGTCGTGCAGTCGTCCCTCGTCATGTTATACTACAGTTCGGGGTATTGTAATTACAGAGCGGAACGCGTATATTGATTTACCGGAGGTTGACGGTAGGGATGGCGGCGCCGCTGGGGTAAGTAGGCGCAGTCGCGTTGAAACCGCCGGTAGGGTAGGGGACGACAGTGGCGGTAGCAGTAGCAGTAACAACGCCAGTCTCGCTCTCAGGGGGGCAGTCGTCACCCTCATCCTCATTGTCTCCCTCACCTTCATTCTCAGGGGTGCAGTCATCTCCCTCATCATCCTCACCGTTGCCGGTGGTAGGAACGGCGGTAGGAGAAGTGGCACCAGCCTCGGAGGTAGCGACAGAAGCAGTAGCGGAGGCAGCGGCAGACACGGAAGGAACGGCCTGAACCTTAGTGCTGGTATTCTCAGCAACAGGAGCAGTGATGTAGACGGTGCTGGCAGGCTTGGTCTCGGTGACGGTGACAGTAGCAGTGGCAGCAGCGCAGTCACCGTTGACAGTGACAGTGGTAGCAACGCACTGACCGGCGCCGTTGCCGTTGCCGTTACCGTTGCCAGAGCCGGTCTCCTCAGCCTTGACAGAAGAAGTGGACGCTTCGGGAGAAACGGTGACGGTACGAGTGCCAGTGGTGGTTCGGGTAGTGGTGGTAGTAGGTTCGTTGCTGACGACGTAGCTAAGACCGCTGCCATTTCCGTTGCCGTTACCGCTGCCGTTACCGTTACCGTTACCATTGCCGTTGCCGTTGCCATTGCCGGAGCCGGAGCTGGGGACGGGAACAGCAGTAACGGTAACCAGCTGAGTGAGGGTGGACTTTAAGGTGGTGACCAAAACAGATCGGGAGGTCTCGGGACCTACAGTGATGCTGACGGTCTGGTCCACGACGCTAGTAGTGGGGTAAACAGAAACACTGGCACCATTGCTGGGCTGGGTAGCCTCAGGGGAGTTGCCAGTAGAGGTGGTAATAGCAGGAGTAGCAGTAACGGTGCGAGTAGTGCCGGAGATGAGACCACTGCTGTGGGCACCGACCAAAGACTTGGAGAGGGACTCAGCAGCGGTCACAGGGCAGACGGTAGTGGTAAGGTCAATGACCTCAGTAACAATGGCAGGGCCAGTGCTGTTGCCGCTGCTGCCGGTGGCAGCAGGGCAGTTAGTGATGGTAGGAGCGCAAGAGGTGATAGTGTGGACGGTAGTGATGGCGACGGTAAGAGTGGTTGAAGCTCCGACACCAGTGGTTGAGGCTCCGACGCCAGTGGTTAAAGCTCCAACGCTAGTGGTTGAAGATTCGACGCCAGTGGATTGCGCGGGAGAAGATTGCACAGCGGAGGATTCCACAGGAGAGGACGAGGACTGCACAGCAGATTCTACCGGGTAGGAATCAGCGGGATAGGATTCCACAGGGTAGGTCTCATTTCGTCGCCAGTGGAAGTGACGGGGTTGATGGTAAGAAGCCGAGGCCAGGCCGGCGAAAAGGCCTAAAGCTACAGTTGCGGACTTCATTTTGTTTTTTTGCGGTTTATTCTAGGAGTTGTCTAATCTCGAAGAGTATATTTATATACTTCGTTGTTGTCGAATGAGTGGACGTATGCAATAAGCAATGCGGGATACCAATGAGCGAAAGTCGATTTCGCGGAAGCTGAGCAGACACAGTTGCTGTTTGTATAAAGTATAGAAACGTGTGCAGAATTGAAAAGACTGCTGGCGATGCAGAAAGGGTCTAGGAGGCGGTTGACCGACGACGTCGAAGAAAAAATGAGAGACTTGAGATATACTCGAAACGAGAGAAACACGCAGATGGTGAAGAAAGAAAAGGGAGAAAGAAGTGAGACTTGACGATGATGGAGGGTGGTGAGCCCTTTTTACATTAGGTACTCTCCCGAAATGAGTGTTAAAGATCCTTTTCCGCTCGGCGCTCCCACAGGCTTGTTAGCCTAACAGATCTAATATAAGTCTAGAAAAGACGAAAAGACCGAACTCCCCTTACCTTGGCGGCTAGTGTAAATGAGGCCCGGGGGTATAAACAAAGCCAAAGTCTTTCAACCCTAGCTCAAGGACCCTCCCCAAGCCTCCAAGCATAATCCGATATACCCATCATACCCAAGCTTTACCCAGCATACCCCTAGTCCGTCATTATTGTGTTGATGATGAACGCGGCCTTATCAGCCTATTGGGGAGGACCATTAGGATCCACATTATCACATTGGTCCATACGTTGCTCGCGTTGTCCGGGTCGATCGAGCAGGGGGGGAAGAGGAGGAAGAGGAGGGGGGGTGGATGGTGTTCATCTGGTAAAATACCATATCATCATACCTTGGTAAAATATCGTCAAAGGACCGGGGATGGGATTGGACCAAGTTTCTTTCTTTTCTTTTTTTTTCTTTTTTTTCTTTTTTTTCTTCTTTGGTGACAGGGTGAAAAAAAGCGAAAGGACTTTCTCTCAAAGAGAAAAAAAAATATTGAAAGGGAGGGAAAAAATAACGTCGTCTGCCGTCGTCCTTTCCCCTGTGCCCCTTAAGCCCCACGCACCATTATTGAGATCCCTGTCAGCCAATACGCAGGTACAACATGGTGAAACCGGTAAAGAAACCAATGGGCGCTAGAGAATAAAGTCTAGCTGAATCTTTAGGAGCTGTTAGTCAGAAGCTAGGCTAGACTTTACATACGCAGCTCGTGCAACGAAGACTTTTATTATGTAGGTACGTTATGCAGGTACTAACTACAGTACATAACGGTTAGTATGTAAGTAGGATGGCGCATTGCATGAGTCTTTTTTTATTATTTTTATTATTTTTTTGGTTTTTCAATTTGTAGACTAAAGAAAACATTTAACTAGGATCATGTAATCACAGCTGACAAAGCTCGAAAGTTGAGATGAAATTAAACTTCGGATGGCTTTTTTTTTTTTTTTTTTTTAAGGTAAGACGCTGGAAAATATTTTTGATCGGCACATCTTCGATTAGCTTTGAGGATCTGCAATGTAAGCGCCGCCCGCAGTTAACCAAGATATACCTATCTCATATCTAGCGCCATCAGATATAATATATATAAAGAAATCGTTTTGCTCTCTTCAGCAAATGGCAAGAAGCTTTTTTGCTTTTTCTTGGTTTTCGCATTTGCCAACGCAGCACATACCTAGACTTACACGTAACTAGCCTCTGTACTTTGTAAGACGGGACGGGACCACGCCATAAGACGGGTTCTGCATAGAGCCGCGAATAACACCTAACTTCTACATAGGAGGTTGTTGTAAATTCCAGAATACTAATACGGGATGTCGCGAAACGATGCACGAACCCAAAAAATGGTATCGCAATCCTCGTGGCTAACCAGGGGGGGAGAGACCTGATGATGATGATTTCATAACGAGCTGAGACTTTCCCGCATTCTCCTGGTTCTCCTGGTTTTCCTGGTGGACAAAAAGAGTCTCATCTTGCTACGTAATTCCAAGGACGGGGGACCATGTCGTTGGAAATTTGTTACGTATTGGACTTTACTACGGAATACTAGTACCTAGTAGTAGTAGAACGATTTTATTATGCAAGGAGGACCAGCAACTTGGAAGTTCCAATGTGACACCGCTCGGCGCATTCCAGCTTCGGTTTTTCCAGCTCACCGGTACATCGAAAGAGAAAGAAAAAGAAAAAGGCGGTCCACGATACCTACTCAGGTAGGTACCTTACCTATCGCATTTCATCCCATTTTAATCTCGAGCCGGGGTACCCAAGGGATGATAATTCGATTCTGCGACCGTTTTTAAACTTCTAGACCACGCGCTCTTCTCCGTTAAAACAAAAATCCCAAACAAACCCTAGGCGCCACGCCTGTCCTTGTAATAATAATGTAAGAGCGGTAAGGCTCTCTCATAGAATGTTCCACGAATTTTGCTTGTCCTTTTTTTTTTCTTTTTTTTTTTTCGTATCATTACGAAAATAACAAGCGCATAATGTATAGTATGTTTTCCGTCGTGGTGTACTTAGTCGTGTAAATTATAAATTACGTATTGTAGGATTTGCTCACTGCTGAAATCCTACGGTTGAGAATCCCCTCTTTCCCAAGTAATCCTAGCCACTAGCCACTAACCTACCAAATTCACTCTTTAATTACAGCCTTCCAAAGATCTAGCTCTCGCTTACACTTCTGGTTGGTCCGTGCAAGCAGGGTCTTTTGAAAAGCGCAAGGACCCGATCCTTCAATTAACGAAGGTAGCCGAAGGTTACCTCGTTCAGAGAGGTGGTGATATTATCAACAGCTGTACTATGTATTCAGCAATACGCGCGGGGACTAGGATAAGGCTGGCTCAAAATCAGGAAATTCGGGAAGAATAAAGGAAAAGGAAAAGGAACCGCTCGGTGGATCTCTCGTTACTCTCTTTCTTACTAGATGACCGGGACCGCCTAACAACATCAACAAAGAAAAAGGGGTCGAGACTTTTACCGTTTCACTAATTCGGGCAACTAGATTTGGGATTTGTTAGTTTAACATGACATTTAACTACCATAATACTATGTTATAACACGCTGAAAGTGTCATTTCCTCATAAAGCGACTACCGAGTGGCCCCCTTCGGCAAAAGGGAGAAGAAAAAGGAAAGCAAAAAAAGTGAAAGGAACGACTTCCCTGGGAGTCGTCCGTCATTACATACAACTCTGCGTGCGAATGGCACAACACGTTAATGAGCCAATAGGACTCCACTTTTACAATGCCCTTGTCCACCTCGGCCCCCTCGATGCTACGTCGTAAACCTCTAGTAACGTCTGACAGGTCCGATCAAAAAGTCCGATGAGTATATGCTACGCCTACGAGTTGGCAGTTCACCTTCACTTCGAATATAGTCGGGACCAGAAAAAAAGTACTGTTTGAGGAAGACTCAATTCTTCCCAAAAGCATCACCCGGTTGAATTGGGATGCTTGCTCACATATCTACACCTGATCGCAAACACGATCCTCTCTGCGTAGAGCAGATCAAATGCAAGAACGCCACTTACTCCCCAGGCCCGGTTGATGGACCACGTGGTATAATTCTTTCCCGCCATTTATATGCCTGCCTAATGTTGAATGCTTCCGTTTCCCGCCAGTTTTTTTCCTGTAGAACTTTTCTGGTATAGATCCCCTTTGAGAAGCCAGTCCTGTAAAACGCCGATGTTGAAATCGATTATGCAGCTCCCATGGAAAAATTTTTAGCAGGCAACTCCCCACATCATCATGCAATTATCATCAATTTTTCATAAAAAATGAAACGCCGATCCCCTCATACGGAAGACAATTATTTGGCATACTTAGCACGGAAGAACTTGGCTGCGTTGACCATGTTGACCAACGCCTCCTTAGTCTCCTTCCACTGACGGGTTTTGAGACCACAGTCAGGGTTGATCCAGAGCTGCTCAGGCTTGAGGTACTGAAGCATCTCTTCGATACGGTCCTTGATCTCCTGCTCGCTGGGAACACGCGGGGAGTGGATGTCGTAGACACCGGGACCAATGTGGCGAGGGTAAGCCTCGTCAACGAAAACACTCAAAAGCTTCGAGTCAGACTTGCTGTTCTCAATAGACAGCACGTCAGCGTCAAGAGCGGCGATAGCGTGGAAGAAGTCTTGGAACTCAGAGTAGCAGAAGTGCGAATGGATCTGAGTTGAGTCCTCAACACCGACTGTGGAGAGCCTGAAGGCCTTGACAGCCCAGTCAAGGTAAGCCTCACGCTCCTTGCCGGATCGGAGAGGTAGACCCTCACGAAGAGCAGGCTCGTCGACCTGGATGACGTCAATGCCAGCCTTCTCAAGGTCAACGACCTCGTCACGAAGAGCTAGAGCGAGCTGCTCAGCCTGGACGGACTGGTGGACGTCATCACGAGGGAAGGACCATCTCAAGCAGGTAACGGGACCAGTCAACATACCCTTCATGGGCTTCTTGGAGACTGACACAGCGTACTTGGATTCCTTAACAGTCATGGGGGCAGGTCGAGAAATATCACCGACGATGATAGGAGGTCGCACGCAGCGAGAGCCGTAGCTCTGAACCCAGGCATGCGTGGTGAAGGCATAGCCGTCCAGACGCTCACCGAAGTACTGGACCATGTCGTTTCGCTCAGGCTCACCGTGTACGTAGACATCTAGGTCAAGCTCATCCTGGATCTTGACGTTGGAGTCAATTTCCTGCTCAATGAACTTGTCGTATTGAGCTTCCGTGATTTCTCCCTTGGTGAACTTGTTTCGTTGCACTCTGATTTCCTTGGTCTGGGGGAAAGAACCAATGGTGGTGGTAGGGAAAAGAGGGAGGTTGAGTTTCTTCTGCTGCTGAGCAATTCGGGACGGGAACTCAGACTTTCGGTTGTAGTCGGAGGGAGTAATCTTGGATTGTCTCTCCTTGACCTGAGGGTTGTTTGTTCGCTTCGAGGTGGCACGAGCGTTCATGGACTTGGCGTTAGCCTCAAGAGCCTCTCTAACCGAAGCAGGTCCCTCGGTAACAGCCTTAGCAATGATAGCAATTTCGACGGCCTTCTCAGAGGCGAAGGAGAACCAGTCGGCAATTTCAGGGTCCAGCTTCTTCTCGCTGGCGAGAGTGTGGGGGGTGTGAAGGAGAGAGCTTGAAGTAGCAACGATGACGCGGTCCTTGCCAAGCTTCTGGACGGCAGTCTCGGCAATCTCAATTGCACGCTTGAGGTTGGTCTTCCAGATGTTTCGGCCATCGACAACGCCGACAGAGAGAGAGGTCTTGGGTCCGAGAGCACCAATGACAGTCTCTAGCTGCTCGGGATTACGGACAAGGTCAATGTGGACGGCATAGATGTCCTTGGGGAGAAGGTCAATGTTGTGGACGATGTCACCGAAGTAGGTAGTGAAGACCAGGTTGGGGATCTTAGAAGCCAAGCTGGCAAACTTCTCGTAAGCGGGCTTGAAAGCAGCCTTGGTCTTCTCAGGCAGGTCGAAGACAAGAACGGGCTCATCAATTTGGACAGTCTCGGCACCAGCTTCCTTCAGCTTGATAAGGAGCTCTTCATAGACAGGTAGAAGCTTGTCAAGGAGGTCGATGGGGTGGACGCTTTGGCCACGGTCGGCCTTGCCCAGATGTAGGAAAGAGACGGGACCAACAAGCACAGGTCGAGTGTTGATACCAGCCTCCTTAGCCTCGAGGAACTCAACAACAGCCTTGGGGTTCTCAGCGAGCTTGAAGGTCTGGTTGTCTTGAAGGGTAGGCTTGACGTAGTGGTAGTTGGAGTCAAACCACTTAACCATCTCTAAGCTAGGAACGTCGACGCCACCCTTCTGGTGACCACGGCCCATGGCAAAGTATTCATCGACACGGTCGAGGTTAGAGTTGGAGTATCGCTCAGGAACGGCCTACGAGACTTCGTGTTAGTCGATGTGCAATGGATAGTGGGGGGGAAGCATTTCAGTTGGAAACTTACACCAAAGTCCTGGATGTGGGAGAGGACATGGTCGTATAGGGCGAAGTCGTTACTGGGGATGATGTCTACGCCGGCATCCTTCTGGATCTTCCAGTGAGCAAGACGAAGACGCTTGGCCTCGGCGAGAAGGTCAGCTTGGGAGAGGTTGCCAGCCCAGTCTAGGAATTGGTTAGCAATACAATTCCAGGAAGCCATCACCTAGCAAGTCCGGCAAGGCAGGTTAGAGTAACTTACAAGCTTCAGTTGCCTTCTTCAGGTCACGGTTCACACCCATACGGGGGAAACCCAGAACTGCAGATTGAACCATTTTGAAGGTGGTTCGAGGTATCTGGGAGAAAAGAAGCTTTCTTTGAGGATGTTAGATACGTATGTAGTGCAGAGAAGTAAGGTCTAGACTCACGAGAAGAACAGGACTGTTACTATTCCAACTCTCTCTCTAAATGTTTAAGAGGGTTGGGTTCAATTGATGTGTGACAACAGTCTTTTTTTGGAGAGGAAGAAGAAGAATTTAAGGAAGAAGAGAATGGCAAGAGGAAGAAGAGGAGGATTCAGAAAGGCATAAGCAGAAAAGTAAGCGGTGAAGGTGGGGTTCTTATGTGAGCGAGCTCAGTACTTAGAACGCATACTATGTAGAACGCAGCTGCTGGTCAGTTGCTTGGTCGATGAGGGTCGATGAGGGGTTAACAATTTTTTCTCTCAGTTGTCGTGCTACAAGCTGACCAAACAGAACAACCAGAACCAAACGGGAGCCACTAACATTTCGCTAGCTCTATCCAACAAGATGTGATCCAACGAGATGTGTTCAGGGTCCGAAAGCGGGGGAGCAGATACTCCATTCTCCCACACTGTGCCCCTCATCGATAAAAGTATTAAGATAAGGTTCAACGTCCTGCATAAAATATCTCATGTAGAAACAAGTTGCAGCATGCCTTCTACCAAATAATTCGGTACAAAAGAATACTATGTACATATTTTATACGATTTACATAATTTTTCTGTATTGTACAATGGGTCCTGCTTATATCATTTCTGCAACGTGGACGTAAAATTGCGAGCTTGACTACATGTACCGTACCTATTGGATTACATGTATGTAGGTAGGAGGTAGGCACGTCAATGGATTGGTCCTCCGCTATCTGCGGACTCGGGGTTCTGGGGAGCTCCATTACTATTAGCAAATCAAGCAAATCAAGCAGCGAGCCACTAGAGCCATTCACCGAGTCGTACAGGCTGACAGGATGTCTATGAAATGATGTCTGCAGAATGTTCATAACCTAGGGAAGTACCTAGGTACCTAGCGTCCAGTTTTGTTTCTCCGGACGACATAACTCGGCTCCCGAACCCGACATCTTACATATTCAAAAGAAGAAAAAAACAATCCTTCGAAGGTAAGATGTAAAAATCTTAGGTCTCGATGGCATCAATTTACAATCCTTGTTCGGCATGCTACCTTCCAATCAATGCCGCTTCGGCCGAACCATTCTCTTGGATGCATACAATAGACCGATCGGTCCCGGCCACAACCCCCGGTTACATTCCTTCAGATGTACCTAGAGGTTAGAGTCGTATTAGAGTCGCAGGCTACTACCGGACTAATTACTACGGTAGGTAGTAACCTATGCCTTATCTCAGTAACCCACCTGGTACATAAGACAACAGCCGCATCGAAGCACTACGTCCCTAAATGGATTATAACAATTGCTAAAATCGACATCGACAGTATTTTGCGTACCTAAGGTTTACGGCATCTCTCTTCGTCTTCCAAGTTCAGTAATCTCTTAAACCCGGATTGTTGTGTTGCTGCTCCCGTCAGATTTTAGTATGGATAAGATGAGAATCCGGATACAACCAAGAGTAACGCAAATCATTTTCAAAATTTATGTACGAAGTACGCGGTATCACATCGCAGGTCTCAATCCGGAAGCTTACTAAGGCTTCCTACAGGTTTAAGCAGAGTTAATATCAGCAATACATCGGCCGTAAATACAGATTCGCCAGTGTATCTTATGATGGTGACAGGTAATATAATAGTAGCTTCCGATGTCTGATGTTACAGAATAAAGAGCAAAGTTATAATAGCATGTACGAGGTAAGACTAATGCATTACTTTATGTAGACATCTACATGTACTTAAGGTAATCGTATTACTTCGATCGGTTACTTTTATTGAGAGTCAATTCAATGCTTGCGCCTTCCATTGTGTTATGTATGACGTGCTATTCCACGTGGCAAGGCTACCTAACCTACATAGGTAGCTTGAAACTTGACTATATGTATGCACCTGGGTAGTACTTTACACAATATATCGACTTAGGGGCTACCTCCTATCAAAAAAAGACACAGTTATGGAACCTCTTAAACCTTAAACTCTTCAGAAAAGAACTCGCGTGCTCGGTTTTAAGATCTCATATACCTTACCATACAGGTACCTAAGGTAAGTTACAGGAACATATTTTAGCATACCTAACATGAAGGATTATTTCTCCAGCATCTACGGCTGCTGCTAAATTCTAGTCCGTTGCTAACAATTTCGAGTCAGTAAGGTGAGACGGCGCGTGAGGGATACTGGGCAGCGTTGAAAATACATAGGACACAAACAGCCGACGATTGTTTTTAACAGAAATGATACAGGTAACATACAAGACAGGCGGCGGTGGTCATACTAATCTATAGAAATGTTGGCTATATTTTCTTTTGGCTCGCTACAATATGGGAAACCACATGGATTGTTTCCTCCATGTCCACCACTTCCCTCGAATCTACCTTCACACTGTAACTTCTTTCAGATGATAAAGACCACCTTGGAAAGAGCTACATATTATCTTAGGTAATTATCTACATGAATTCATTTTAATGATCTGAGGTAAGGTTGAATGGTCCGACACGAAATGTATCGAATTCATCCAGCTCGATGTGTTTGCTAGGTGCTGCTGGCCCCCCCTATTCAACTTTGGTTATATGGCTGCCGAGTGTTTCTTGGAAATCCACGACAGATATTAACCAAAATCCATTCTCTTTCAATTGGGTGCTAGTCAGCATGTCCATTTTCTGTTGCTATCGTCCTCGGCGGACGGTAAGTCAAGAGCCTGTCCAGGACACAATTGAACTTCCAACCCGTCCGCCGCGCGTGAAGTTGCCAAATCCGCCATTTCCTCCCTCAGGAGCTCAGCTATCGTCTCCAGAGGTTGTAATTAAAAAAACACCACCGCTTCCCCACCACCAAATACCAGAAGCTACCGTGGATCCCATCATCCTTGAAATCGAAGATTCGGACGACGATGAACCTGTGAGGAGTACCAGAAACTCCAGTACAGGTACTCTAGGAGCTATTAGGACCAGGTTTATTAGACGTTTGTCTCAAAAGTCTGAGTCAAGAAGACATTCGCAGTTGTCCCTGGGTACCAGCGATGAAGAGATCGCACGGCGTGCCGAGTTGAGGAGACTAATGCGAAAGAGAATTCAGGAGGAATTAAAAAACGAAGAGGAACGGGAAGACGCCAAGGTGAAAGCAGGCAATACCGAAGAACCCAAGCCTGACGGTACTACTAATATCGAACTCCCTCGTGGTGGACCGCGCGATAATATAGAATTCTGCGTCTTGGACGTGAACGAAACTAGTCCTCAGGATAATACTTGTGGCACTCCAGACGTTTTGCTTCTTGCTCTTTCCGCCAGCAACTCTCAACCGGGGATTTCTCTTCGTCGGTGCAGCTATCCAGGCTCTAGTCCGATCTCTCGGGCCCACGAGGATGCTGTCACAGATGACCGTGGAGTCGTGAAAGAACGCGGTCCCTTACCACGATTTCCCTCTTCTCCTCAGTTGACCCCTGTTCACGTACCAAGCGCTAGAGTCTCGGAATCCCTTTGCTCATGGCGACTTTCCTATAGCGCCGAACAACTTGCGAGATATATCGGGATACCAGAGCCGGTTAAACCTGAGGGGACCTATGAACCTGCCGAACTAAACACTCGAGGTGATATAGTTGATAGACAAGGCGAATGCGTCAACCCACGTCATAGTGATTTCGTTGGGACTCAAGAGCTGTCGACGAGCAAAGAGCTGTACGAGAATGCAACCCGCGACAAGTTAGCTGTAGGTAAAACTCAGCAACAAATCCAAAGCGATGAGGAGAATTCCGAAAGCATGTATAGTGCGGGTCCTGACGATACAAGCTCCAACTACGATTCGCCATTAGATATCTGGCTACGAAGCCAAGAGTTACAGTCGACGTCAGCGACACCTAGTAGAAAGACAAGTAATATAGTACGGCCGGTCATTTCGAAGGCCCCTGGAGTTATTGAGCCCCAGGAGACTTCGGGTGAATTGGTCATAATGCAACATGGTTCTCTAGAAGTAAAGCTAGGTAAGCCAAGTGCAGGCTTGAATGTCGGCCAAGTCGGGGAACCAAGTGACTGGGCTACCAACTCTATACGAAGACGAAGCGATGCCTTTGACGGCCGAGATCTAGTATTAACTAACCAGGGCCAAAAAGCTTCTTCGTCCCTCTACACACCTTCACGGTACAGTACCAGGCCTAACAGCTGCCAAACCGCGACAAAAGGATCGCGACTGAACTTAACGGAGTTTCTAGGAGGCCGGAAGACGGTTGCTCCCTTCTTAGGATTAAATCGTACGTTAATATGCTATATTAAACATTTTTGTGATGTCTAACGTCAATACTAGGGTTGAAATCCTCTAGCCGTGCGACTGATGCCGAGAAATCAGAGGTCAGTTCATACAAGACTGCTCCTAACGATGCCTCAACAGTAGAGATAAACATGCCGGGCGCCCAACAGTTACAACGTCCTACTGCGGACATAAATTCGGCCGCTGTTTCGGATACAGCAAGTTTCAGGCAACGAGAAAGCGAGCTTAAATCGATCGAAAAGAGATTTGGACGAACTAATCTCCGCCGTGATACTATCACCCCAATGGCTAGCAAGTTCCGAGAGGAGTTTAATGAGCCTAGAACTAGAACCTCGATCATTTCTAAGAACTCTATACTAGCCAAGTTTCATTTACCGATTGCTAAAAGAACCAAATACCAAGCTCAAGATGCACCACATCATAGTGTACAAGTGGTCAAGTGTAGTGGTGCGACGAATCAAGACACCGAATATGCTTGCCTTGGCCAACAAAACCCCCACCAAGTGGCCGCTAATAGACAGCAAATAGTTTTATTTCCAAAATTGGAACACGAAGATGTTGCGAACTCGAGGGGCTCTCAGCCACAGATATCTGTGTTCCATGAAGATGCATCCGGAATTCAGTGGCAGGAAGAAAGTCTTTCAGGGTCTTTAGGCTATCACAAAACCACCCATATCGATCAAGCTCTCCACCTGAGGACAAGAAAGGAGCATGGTTCATCGCTTAAACCACTGTCACGTCACGAAAATAACAGTAGCCGGCAATCGGATCTCTCTAGTACTGTCCTTAGAGAATGGGTAAGCCTGCTGAACGATCAAGATTTGAAGTCTCAGGAAGAACTCAAGGCGGAGACACAAAGCCACGGCACTTGGAGGTTCCGGACACCTCCTGCATCATGGGCAAAATGGCCGTCTCATACGCGCCAACAAAGAACGGGACCAGCAGGAGAAGAAGATAATGTGATATCAAGGGATTTCGCAGTGCGAGTAGAATCTAATGGTAGCGATATAACATGGCTAACGGATAAACCTGGAAATTCCTTCAAGAAAAAAGCTTCACCTAGACGAAGCTTATCCACCCAGCTTGGTAGAGCTGTGAAAGGAGGGTTCAGCAGAGTTGTCCAAAATACTATCAATCGGCCTTCCTCAGAAGCCTATCGTGCCCGACAGAAACCAGACAAAGGATTGGAATACCCTGAGCTTAAGATCCTCCCAATACAAGGGGGCTACGAAGACTTACAAGCACTCGAACAACAAATCGGCACAATGAAACGCGGGACTACGACTACAGAAAATCAATTGGCCAGTTCAAGTGTAGACAATACGAGACCACCCCTGAGCGCGCGTTTCGCCGAAGAAGTACATATGATACAGCACCAAGTTCCAACCGACGGTTCTCAGGATAACGAGACTACAGTGCAAAATTCGGCAATAATTTGTACATCAACACCCGATCAAGCAAGACCGGCTTCACCAAGAATTTCCGAAACGGCTAGTCAATCGAGAGGGTTAGGGTCGTGTGATAGCGGCGAACCCCATGAGCCCCATGAGCTCGAACAGAGACCAGAAGATAAGCTGCCAGCGGATAATAACACCACAACAACAGCAACAGAGGACACTCATGATATATCAGTCGCTTAACATCGTTTTATATGATTAAGCTTGTGGGACATATTACCCTAAAGATATGCTTTATTTTGTAGCTGAGCGAGAGACTACGGGGTTGTATCTCTAGGTAGTTAGACAGCCCCCAATCTTCATAGCAAGACGCATCGAGGGCGTTGTAAGGAGAGGCGAAAGTGATCAACGAAAGCGAAGGGATCCATCAATTAGAACGAGGTTAGCGTTAGTTATAGCCGATGGCGGACAAGGCGAAATCACCCGCGTCGAGCATTGCCGGCGGTTGAGGGTATGGCCACCCCGGCAAGACATGTGGTATCTATCAATAGCTGTACGTAGGCGTGGAGTTTTACCTATCATGAATGACTTCTGTAGCTTAATATACCTAGAGCCTTACCTATTATCCACCATACACACACTCTCTCTCTGTTCTTCTTTCCCCCACCTGGCTGGATATTCAATTACCCATGGTCGATTAGTAGATGAGACCACGAATAGCGGTGAGTTGGTCAGGCGAGAATATTGGGACATTCGCACATCTAGATAGCGTGGCGACCCATCTACGGGAGCGGAGCCCCCTTTTTTTTCCCCGAGGAGCAGGGGAGGGGGAGAGGTTCGGGTCACGTAGGCCACGTGTGATTTCGCCTTCCCGGAAAGCCGGAAGCGTGGAGCTAGCTGAGATTGTATGTAGGTTTCTAACGAACCCGGTAGCTTTACACTAGGTATAGCGTATTTTTCGGTAGGGTAGGTACCTAGGTAGGTAAGTTACTCGGCTGTTCTCCGCGTTGGCGCGAAGATGGAGCCTCCCTCCCCTCCCCCCTAACCCCTTGTTCGGTCGGCGTTTCTTTCATGGGCAGATAGAGATGGCTATTCACTAGGTACCTAGGTAGGAGGTAGTTACTCTGTCTCCATTATCAGGTAGATATATCGCGTTGTGCCTATGGGGATATAATATCGGGCTTTTGGTTTGGAAATCGTCTGGTTGGTTGTATATTTGGATGTTTGTTGTTGAATGCCTGTGAAAGGTCTGGATTCGAACGGCATAACTATCCGACTAATTACCTAGGTGGTTAAATCAAGCTTTATTAGAATTATCTTGAGTATAGTTAGCAATATCTCTTAGGCTGTTGTTATGTTTCACTCCTAAGCTAGGGAGATACCTAAAGTAGGTATGTAGGTAGGTAGGGGGGTAAATAGGTTAGGTAGGTTAGGTAGCTATCGACTGAGCGAGTCCGAGTACCTATGGAGTCCACGATAGCTGGAGCCGCTCGATAGGAGTAACTACCTCCTAACCTAAGCACCCAAGGCATAAGAATGCTGGCGGCGAAAGCACGATGTAATTATCGTCGTATGTATTAGCACCTAAGGTTAGGTTAGGTCAGGTCAGGTATAGCTCGGCGGATACCAATAATAACGTTGTCGTTGGAGTTTCTGGTTTCTACCTGGAGGGCGGGCCACGAGGTTCGTAGGCGGTTGGAATTCGAATTCTTCGGAGAGATAGATGCACCGATTCAGCTGGTCGACGGACTGTTGGTTCGTTTTTTAAGCACCTGAGGCGGTCTGAACTAGCCAGGCCTAGATAGGTACCTAAGGTAGGTACTTGATGAACGATAGGGTGTGGCTTTCTGTGGCTGCTTCTGCTTCGGCTTATTGTTGCTTCTTATTACCTGGGTAAGTCGGCTTTTCTTTTCTTTTTCTTTTCTTTTTTTTATGTAGTACTAAGGGCCGATCACATCGTGATTATCGTGACAGCGAGGAGGGCGGTGATGGGAATGGATACAAAAAAAAAAAAAAAAAGGGGGGGGGGGGGGGGGGGGGGGGGGGGGGGGGGGGGTGGGGTGTTGAATTTGAAATTAAAAAGGCGGGGGTGGGGAAAAGAGGTTTTG